ATTTCAAATAATTTGAACAGAACTAATTTTAAAATGGTCAAATAGAATTTCTATAAATTGAAATAATTTCAAGAGATTTGCGAAGGAGGTACCATTTCTACGTTATTTTATTGTGTTCGCTTTTCGAATCTATAAAATCAATGCTATCGGCTAAATAATAATGGAATAAATTACACAAGTAGTAATGTCACTAATTTCCACAGCGAGTAATGGTGCGCAGATTAAAGAGATCAACACTCAGCGAAAGTGGTCGTTTACTTGAAACGCGATAGTACTGATACGGACCATGTAACGTTATCTTTTTAAAATGCGAAAACAATAGACCAGAACACACGGTGGCGGTGGTTTTGTGCGCCGACCATACAGCGGTCGATGGCTGTGCGGCGATATACGAGAGAATAAGTTTACGAGGCCGTTATTTCTTCTTTTCGACAACAAACTGTCGCTAATTCCTTACCGGGAACGGTCCAGTGAATGGCCTACAATTGTTAAACGCAACACGCTGAGAAAACAGAAACGATGGGCGTGTGACTTCTAAACGATTTGATCCAAAACCAAACGTAACGCCTTAACGCCACACACATAAGTTTAACGGCCCACACATTCGACCAAACCTGTGCGAGAGACTCCTACTAAGTAAATCGTTCTCCAAGTTACGTCACTGACGCGCCGAAAACCCGACAAAAGCGGTTGTACTTCATTAGATAATTTGTAAAACTTGCAAATTTTGTGCCAACAACCTTTTTTTCTTTCGACACGATTTATTTACAAGTACAAGTGAGTAAACTGTTCATGCCATTACAGTAAACGATTACATCAAAAAAATGATCACCTGTCGGCCATAATGTACATTATACAATGACACAAATAGTCGTATCGATCACCGACAATCAACTGAAACTTAAATTGAAATTATACAGGGCAACTCATTTAACCTAAACAGAACTTGGCTTACAATCATTAATTGCCAATCACTTGTTAATAATCGGATGATAAATATCCATTTGGATTTTCCACATTGAAAAAATCAATATACTCTTCTTTTTATTGATTGTAATTGATGCACAAATCATACAATTATTAGGTAACACATACGTTGCACATTGGTGGAAAATTGCACACCAATTGTAGATAAACTTGAATACTTTTACAATAGTAATAACAAACACCTATCAGACACGCGCAGGTAATACTTCGTGCGTATCGTTCAAGACGTGTTAAACAAATTACACTCGCTTTGCTTTTCATATTAAAATTTTAGNAACAAATTACACTCGCTTTGCTTTTCATATTAAAATTTTAGAATCTCATCCCGTTATCCAAATATTAATTGTATAGAGTTCATTTTAAAATGTGCAAATTATGTGAACGTATCCAGTTAAACCGATTAAAAATACGTACATTTTCTTGGCAAACGACTAATTTTACAACCATCTCGTACTTTTTTAAGATGTCTCCTACTGAAAATCAATACAGTCTTCCAATAACTACAGTTATCTTTTAAGTATACCATCTAACGTTCCATTTTTCAAAACCAACACAAATGAACAACAATAAATAATTGAATTTGCCTATAAACTCATTTAAGTATTATCATTCGATTTTTTATAATAATTGAACACACACGCGACAAATTAATTTCATTTCACGTAATCACGTTTCATTTATAACTTTTTAGATACGGTTATAAAGCAAACACAAAAGTACGCACGATAATCGTTTAAATGACACCCACCTACCTAAATGGTTTAATTGAGAAAACCATACGCAGCTCATATTTTTAAGTACGGTTGACCGCTTTCAATTTTATGTTTATCCCAATTACTATTGAAACGTATGGCTGATAGTCAAAAACCATTAATCAGTTGTCCATAAATTAATTAACCACAGTAGTTGGTGATAATCACGCACATGTATCTACAGTCAACTCGGCATTGAGGGAGTATAATGTTTAACAGGGGTAACAAACAAATATTGCGATCACGTGACGGGCAAGTAAAGTCTAAGGGTAGAAGTTAATATAGTTGAGAGTCCAACACGGTGATAATGATAGAACTTGACGTTTATCTATGTTTACTTTTCGAAGGGGATCACAGAGAGACATCGTCAGCCTTAGCAACAAAACTATGTCTAAAAGAAAAGTGTGCTCGGAATAAAACGCAAGCACGTAAAGAGTTATTTTTTATAAATCCCACACAACGTTTTGCCTTAATCAAACGGGAAAAAATATATCAACAATATAATAACGAAGCATTTTTTTTGTTGCAAATATCTAGTCAACCAACAGTCGATTTCACTGAGAAATTTCTAGCTATGTCTATGTAACTACAAATACCATGAAATGTAAAATAAAAAGCTACGTATCAAAAACAACTAAAAAAAAAATTTCTAAATAAATATTATACAATATTCCTAATTAACATTTTAGTTGAAATGTCAAACACGATTCAAAACATTTTTTGAATCGACATTTTATATTTGAATAAAGATATAAAACATCCTTTCTACTTTTAAATTCAACTTATAAACGAAAATAAACAAAACTTTATAGAACCTTAACAAAGATTTAATCATATTTTTTAATATCTAGAGCTTATTTACAAAACAAAGTGTAAAATAAAAATCTACGAAAATGACTTGTAAATTAAATAGTGTCATATGTTTTGATAAATACGATTTAAAATTGGTTAAGTATTTTTTTTAGTTGGGAATATTTCAAGTGGAACGAATCTTTTTTTATGAGTAAAGCCCGTAAAGCAGAAGCAAGATAACAAAGTTATATTTATTTGATGTCACCTAGCACTAATATTTACGTTGCACGATATGGGAGATAAGATTTTAAATGTTATTCAATTGAAATAATTATGAAAAATAAACTTGGGTATTATAAGTGAAATCATTCATTTAAATTTAACCATAAGATTTATAGCGCAAAAATTGAACTCGGAACAATGATAAATTAAAAATAAAAGTAAAACCGTTGAAAATTATTAGGTAAAAAATACGTTCAAAATGAACAAAAACGTACCATTTTAGAGATCTTTCAAGGTACGACAATTTGTCCTCAAAATTTTTTTAATGGCACGTCACATAGTAAAGTTGACCGTCTATTCAGAACGGCACGCGTCACAATAATAAAAAATGATCATTAAAAATTAGTTAAAAAAAATTAAGTGCGAACTTGTGGAATTATAAAACATTTGTTCACGACAGTCATCGTATAACGGCCGCGAACACGTGTAGCTCGCGTGTAACTAAATAAGCGTAACCAAATTGTCGAGCGTTCGACGCTAACGGACTTCCCGACGCTTGCCGGTCACTGATTGTGGAGATTGGTGCGATGCGTCCTCGACGTTGGGCGAACTTGCGCGCGCAAGTGCCGAACGCTCACTCCTACTACGCGAATTTGTTAACTTCATCACCAGACAACTTTTGCCTAATGGTGTGCGATACACATACATTGTAACTACGACCAAACCGACATCAGCCTGCACAGTTAGGCGCATGCGTAACGTGAAATTTTTCTATTCCGTTGTTGAACTTTACCCAACAAAAACCATATGTTCAAATTGTTTTTTTTTGAATAGCTAATAACGGTCGATTTTCAACAAGCATGAGATCGAGAGGATATTTAACATATCAATTTATTGGCATACTTAATAATTAGGAACGGCTAAATATTTTATGAGCCGATAATGGATTCTAATATCAAAAGTGTCCATCGAATCTGTAATATTATTAAAGGATTAATTTAGTTTACGTATGAAGTGGTTGTTGAAAATCTTAGTCACACCCAATTAATTTGATTATTTTGAAACATTAATTAAAGACCGCTGTCTTTAACGTTCAATGTTTACTTGCGGCTTTTAACACAAGCAACAATTATTTTTCAACTTTAAATAAACTGAAATAAAAAAACTCAATACCAGTATTACGTGTTTTTATTAAACTCACAACAAACTCTTATCGCGTTTGATTTCTACATGATTAATAAAATGTTAATTATGAACACCCGATTCATAATAAACATACGTTTACATATTTCCGCTAAATTCAAAGTAGAACATTAGAATTCTAAAAAAAAATGCAAAGTAAAATCTTAGTGATGTTATTTTTAAATTATTAATTTTAAAATGATTTTTCAACAATATCAAAATTAAATACAATAATGATGACGTAGGAAATAATTCCTAGGGAAGGTGCCAACTAAAATTCCGCATGGGTATAAAACTAAATAATTTATGATTAGTTAATACAATAATACATTTAGAACACATTGTTATATGTTATAATATTGTTGATATTATAATGACTTGTTATAACACATTATCATAAAATTCATCAAGAAAAATATTGCAAGTTGTTGGTAAAATTCAAAATAAAATTATTGTAATTTCATTAAGAGAATAACTAAATAAATATAATTAGGTACGCTGTAAATTTTTATTTTTATAATTAGGTTGAATATCTAATTGAATACTTTTATACATTTTTAATAAATACTAACAATGGTATTACTATGAAGGTTTGTACATAATATGTAGAATAAATAACGATTCATTTAATAATAAGCCATTCAATTAATCATTTACTACAAAAATACACTTTTATAACACCGTTAAAAGTTATAATACTAATAACAAACAAGCTGAATCACTGAACGACATATCAACCAACCATACACCATAATTATTGCCATAATAACTAAAATTGCATTACTCGTCTAAACACATAAAACCATATAATGTCAATGAACCAGTCTACGTTTATTTCATTAAATATAAGACACGGCATCTTAATATTACCAATAATCTACAAAATATTTTTTTATGAAGCTATTTAAATCTTCATTATAGCTATTTTTTTTTTAACATATACAACATAAATTAATAGCAATTGAATTTATTGAAAAAAATCTATCCAATTATTTTTTAACCATCTTTACCTTACATTATAAAAGTTGTATAAACAATGTAAAACTTTTTTACGTTAAACTATGTGTTCAGTACAAAAAATTCAAGAATATATTTTCTATACAAAATAAAAATATTAAATTATCTGAGTAAGTGATATTTTGTGCTTAATATACAAAATTTTGAGCTCAACACAAAACAAAAAAGTAAACAAAATATTGCATTTCTTTTTCTTGAGTACTCTTGCTCTTGCTTTGTCCGGAATATCATAAAAAACGCTATTATTTCACTTAAGCCAGCACGAGTTATGCAAATTTAGTGCAAAATGTCATACATAGCACACTATTCGTGTAAAGCCACTTCAGTGGATGACTGTTACATGGCGTATGTTCCATTTAAGTGAATCGGGTAGAAATATGTACTGAGAAATTCTATTTGTAAGTGAATAAAAAATTTTAATTAAAATATTTATTACTAACAAGACATTAATAAATGTATACTGTCAGTACTTAATCAGATTAAAGTACGGTTTATTTCATTGGTGTCAACATTAATAAAGTGATATTTTTTAAAAGTAATTGACAATTTCGTCAAAATCTTTTTTGATTTAACTAAACTTGATTCCTTAAAAAAATTTAACTTTATTTTGGATAGTTAAAAGAAAATTTTAGAAATCACACCGATAGTTTTTGTTAAATTAAATAACATTATAAATAAAATAAAAATAAATCATAATAACAACAAATTTACTTTTTAATTGACAAAACCTTTTTAAAGTTTTAAACATTTTGTGAGTTTATAAAATATTTGTTTTATTTTTTCAACACAAGTGAATTTGAGATGACCCAAATGAAATGAAAGAATTTAATGCAATAATTTAGTTTAATCGTACTAATGAATATAATTAACTATGAGTATACAGGCGACAATTAAAATCTATAGATTTAAACTATTATAAAATAAATAGTATGAATGTAACGAGAAACAAAATTGAACAACGAAGTTCATAAACTCATTTTCGAGAAAAATAAACCCATACCTTTCATGTCCATCGAGATCTACTAAGAAAAAAAAATAATAATTTCGAGGTGAAAAAAATTTACTTTATTAATACACGTTTAATGAAGTAAAATACATAATCAAAATAAAATTAAGGCAATAAATATTACCTGGGAGGAGTAATGAGTATTATATACACAGCTTTGTACGGAGAAGTGAAAGTTCAAACGTGAAGAAGAAACACAATAATTTAAAAAAATAAATAAGACTACGATAATTATTTAGTTATCAAGATCTGCAAATGGAGATGATATAAGTAGTCAATTTAGAAATGTTTTGCAACACTATTTTAATTACTATCTAAAATTAATTTAAAACGCCTATAAAAAAGTTTTAACTTGTTAAGTGTATGACATTATACCTCCAAAATTGCATTCACATGTATAAATCTTTGAACATAAATAAAAAAAAAAGTAAATGACTATGTAATGTGATGTACAATACTTTAAAATTTTAAATTTCTATTCTTAGAAGAGAAAAATAATCAATATTGATTGTTAACATATTATTTTTAAACTACTAAATTTTACTAGAGACTTAAACGTAAGTATTAAATGCATACCTATTAATAAATAATTCTACACTTTCAACTAATGATTTTGCTATAAATATGTTTAGTTAATTAGTTTAGTATAACGCTATCGTGATCTTTGTTTAATTATAATCAAAATTAAACAAAGAGAAACTTCTTTAGCCAACTTCTTATATAATAAATAATATAAAATAATAAAATTAACCTTTTAAGCTTGGCGTATACATACTAATATATATAATTTATAGAAATTTTATTTTTTTATTAACTACTACTATCATGATAAACTTAGATGATCAAACGCCTCACAGTAATTTAGAACTTTTTTTAAGATTCTTAAAGGTCATTTAAACTATACACCCAAAGAAAAACCTCAATCAAAATTGAAAGAGAAATTTTATCAAGGGTTTATGATAATGTTTTATTAATACGAACAAAATAACTATTCTTATAAATAATTATTGTTCAAGACAAGAAAAAAAAATATTCAATTTATCAAATTGAACAATGAATTTATTATATAGATCGAGGTTTTTCTCTGGGTGTACAAATAAATAACTTTAAAAAACCTATAAAAATTATAAAACTAAAAAAACCAGTAAACCAAAAAATTTATAAAGATATATTCTTTATAATAAATAATTCTTATTTAAACTTTAAAAATTCATATACTTATATAAAACAATATTAATACAACCCTAAAACAATCTAACTACATTATTCTGAGATGAATAAGATAATCTACTTTCTTATTCCCTTCGGGCCCTACAGGAATTCCATAGAGGACCAACCCGGCCAATTATCTTTGACGTGTACTCACATTGTTAACAAGTATTAACATAGATCATTGTTTTAGAAAAACACTGTTAAACTCAAGACTTTCTTTTCTTTATCAAAATGTATTGCACAAATGTCGCATAAATAATCGAGGAGAAATATAACCGTCCCTGAAACAATAAAACTCGTGGTTTTATTTTTAAAATGACGGTATAAGTGAAAACTGAAAGCTGTTATTAAAATAAAACCATTTATAACGTTAAAACAATATAAATGTGTACATTTTTTCTAGCGATAGTAAGTCACTACAATATTTAACATAAAGAACGAGCGATGATAAACGAGAACTGTGTCAATGACTATACATCAATTAATAACACACAATTACTTTTTTTAAGTTTTTAAAATAATTTACTAGGACATATATATTTTGAAAGATGTTTATAAAACGTTTTAAATATAATAAAAAAATTGTTTTTATTATTTACAGCCTAACATATAACATAGATGAAAAATAAATTAACTCATCACTACATAAAATAAAAAGCAATTAAAAATAATAAATATGACAAACTTCATTTAGCTGATTTTCCATTTTTTTTATACACGTATACAACTATTGTTTAGTTGTTTTAAATTTATGAAACCTTGAATATTTGAAATTTTCAATCTATTATAAAATTGATACAGAAATGATTTATTTCTGTTCAACCAGTATTTTATGATTTTATTTTGTTTAAATTTTTATATATGATATTGTTATTTCTGAAATATACAGTATCTTTCAATGTTAAATTATATTATAATCTATATAATTTTATTTTATTTCAACTCTAATATATTATGTTAAGTAGGCTATATCATATAATTATAATTAGTGTTCAAACTAACACCGAATATAGATATTTCATTATTCATAAACAAAAAAAAGATAAAATAAAAAAAATTCGATATTAATTGGAGTCAAACAGGAAGTGGTCTATTTCTTAAAACCAAAAATCAAAGAATGACTAAGATTCAAATAATAGAAACACCTATTTATTAATTAAACTGTAATATTATTCAATTATTTTTTTAAAACCACAAAAAGTAATAAATAGCATTTTAAAGGTATCTTAATGTAATAATATACACGACAAACAAACGGGCACCCTTTTTTTTCTGGTGTCGGTATAATCGAATAGCATGACGATAGATACGTATCGTGAAGTGGTAAACGTCAGGCCCACTCATTAGAGTGACTGCCACGACATAACAACCTTCCCCAACAGTACAGCACAGCACGCACAATATAAACACACCGTAGAAACTAATTTCATTGTCACGGTCAACCGCAAGCGGGTTGGGAGTTGGAATGATAGATTTAATTTTCTTCCTACCCCGTTTCTTAAGACGTCACTTGATACCACAAGACAAAAAGTATTATTTTTGAAAATTATTATTTATAGAAGTAGCATGGAACATTAAATTACTATGCAACAAACGTTTATAGTATTTTTTAATCATGAGTCCACTTCCTAAACGCCAGTCTATAGATTTCTGTCTGCTCCTGGGTTAACATTCTTGTAGCTATTGGTTCAAGGTCACTAAGTTAGCCACGACGTAAAAAACAGAATTACTGGTTTTATCGGTCGGTCGACAGCAAATTTTTGTAAACGAATACATTGGTAACACGCCTTTATCATAGATCCTATTTAATAAAACCAATAACTCCGCTACAAAAGTAAAATAACATGACTAACTATTCTAAAAAAAAAATAATCATTTTATAATCAACACAATACTATTACAGTAATGTATTTAATGACAATACATTCGGCCGCTAAAATATTTACAATAGAAAACGATACGTTGTAGAATTATTATATTATGTCTATTCAAAAGAGTACTACATCAAGTTACGATGAGCAGTGCTGTGTGTTATATGTATTGGAACACTACAATTTACCGAGTGAAAAATTTAAGGTTCAATGAATGAATCAACGACACGCATGTCTCATATCCATTGTCGACTTGTCGACCGAATGTCGAATAACTAATTTCTTTGCTATAGAATAGAATAAAAATAATTTCGTATTCTCAAAGGATATTGACTTGGCGGGAAATATTGTATTTTATAGATTATAATTATACAGCCAACCAGACCAAGAGAGGCCAATATTTGAAAACTTGATATATAAATGGAATACTTATACTAGTTAACATGCAAATTTCATTTACTCGTTATAATTATTTTCATTGCGACTTACTAGAATACAGTAAATTATATGTAGGGAAAAATAAAAAACCATTTATATATTTTTAAACGACAAATTTTTTTATGGACAAACGGATAAGAAAACGTAGAAAATTTAAAAACTACTTGTTCTAATTAATACACATATTTTTTATTAATATTATTATGAAATAAGTATATTATGTTTAAAAAAATTGGTTGAAATGGCTCTCTTTAATTAAACATTAACTAAAATATTTCAATAGTTATGTCACAATTTTTTTAATTCTATTTTTTTTAAAACCTTCTCATAAAAGTTATAAATATTTTACATTTGCATCATTATGTTATAATGAATCATAATGAACGCGTAATTAATTACAAGTTTGCCAATGACATTATCTGGGACAATATTACTTAGAGAAAGTAAATCTTGTAGTTTCATAAACGAGTTGTGAAGATTTAGCTTATTACAACAAAAACTAGTAGCTATTCTAAAGTCGATTTATTTGATACTATGCGTTAAATTTAAAAATTAAGGAATAGTTTAGACAAATTTTAGGTTTCTTCTACTCTTAAAGATCTATTTTTATATATCTTGGTTTCAACATAATATTTTGCTCGAGCTTAAATTAGTTAGTAATGTTCGCACTATTGAAATGAAACTAATCTGATATAAAAAGAGTAAGTAAAAGTAATTTCTTAACTTTGAGTTACTAAAAAAGGTATGGACATGTTTTGCACTCATCATTATTTTAATTACATATTAAAAAAATAAGTTGATAGAAAAATTTCTAGGTTCCCAAAAACATTATATTCGAATATTTAACAGTAACTTCTTCGAACAGCGACTTGGGCAGAATAATAAGACTTCAAGAAAAATTGAAACTATAAATTAAAAAAATAATAATACAATTTTAAGTACGAACAACAGTAATAGACACAATCCATGTGAATTTTCATATTTCATTAAAACAACGTTAAAAGGCACAATAAAAAATCATGAAATTCAAGGTCACACAAACAATGAAATTTTAGATTACATGGCACTAGTCAATACAAATTTTAGTTTTACTCAAACTAATTTAGTACATTCATATAAGTTGAGTTGAATGCATAAATATTAAAATTACAGTGATAAGATAAGTACCTTGTAAGTAGGGTTAGATTTTCGCCGTATTTAAATTTTCAAACTTGCTAAAAATATACTAAGACATAAAATTTACTAAATTTTCTAGACACAACTTTAAAAATTATTATCGAATATTATTTGATCATTTAGATAAAACATATTACGCACCATCAACACTACAACGAATATCATTCAATACTGTTGTAGAATTCGACCCGGCAGACTGGAGGGAACAATAATTATCGGGTTGACGGCCATGCTGTGAGAATTCCTTATAATGCATGTGCTGCGTGCTACGTTGCCGTTGTGCCATCTCCGAACATGCTACAAGACATGTGATTATGAGATAAACAGGTTAACTTAACTTTAAGTTTAAATACTATAATAAGTTAAGTATTTACACTTTACGATGAAAAATATACTAACGAAATATTATGTACACTTTTTTAATTTAATAAAATTATCAAACTATTTTTAAAAGTACATTAGAACTTAAAATATTTAACTAAATATAATTGAAATATTTAAACCATTTGTCATAAAGAAATCTTGATTATATACAGAGCCGAGGTCTTTTTATAACTATTCAACTGTAGATTAAATAACTTATTACTGTCTTGAGAAAATACTCAATATTTGTGATACGTCCCTTAAACGTCATTCTATATTTTTTTACAGTTACAAAATTTCATTAATTATTTTAATTTTACTTAACGATTTTTTTTCTTTAGCAAAAATATTTATCTACTTACATTTTATGAAAAAATCTATATGTGAGTGTTTATCACCTTAGGCAGTTACTTATAGATTATACAGACGAATTATGATCACAATGTCATTTTATTTAAATGTTCCACACTAATAACATTAGTCAAGCATAGTAAAAATTAGGGAGAAACCAGCTTAATTTTAGATTTATGGGAAATATTAATAAAAAGTTAAATTAAAAAAAAAATTATAACCAAATAATATAACAAGCATTTTCTTTATTTAATTTTTGAATATATACAAATATATTTTTTTATATAAAGAAGTCATCTTATCTTATGGAATTTTTTATACAAAGTTTTATCTAACAGTACATAAAAGATACATTTTAAGAAAATGTATTAAAAGATATTTATTTACCAAGCCCTCCCATTAAATTTCCTAAACCACCGCCAGCACCTTGTTGTAACTGTCTCATAACATTCTGTAATCCTGGCATACCACCTAAAGTTTTAGGAAGAAAAGATAATATATTATAAATATGAATTAATTTATTAATTACTAGTTTAATAATAAATATTTTATTATTTCAAATGTTTTCTCACCTATTTGTTGTAAAACTCTTGGATCCATCATTTTGGTTATTTGTTGATTAAGTTTGGCCATTTGAGATGGGTTTACATTTTTAGACATATCACCAGTCTTAAAAAGTCCTTTAATGCCACCCATTTTTTTTACAACCCCAGCAAATTTGGTATACTGTGATATCAGTTCTCTTACTTCACGCTCAGTTACACCAGCTCCTTGTGATACCCTGATAATCCTACCAGGTTGTTTAGTAAATAGTTTTGCTCCATCTCTATGGTCCAATTCTACAGAAAAACATTATGATAGTATTATTACATTAAATATAATAGTAAATCAAAGTTTTATTGAGCATGAAATTAACTATAAAATGTATAATCACCTCCATCATTCATACTATCCATTATTGTCATAAGCTTTTTTAACCGTGCCATTGACTCAATTTCACTTCCTTTTGAAAGGAAATCTTGACTGAAACCAGGTATCATACCCTAAGATTATTTAATAATTTAAATTAGAATACAAAGTTTTAGTTATTATTATTATTAACTTAGTAATCAATATTAACTTACCATTATTTGAGAAAATGGTCCCATTTTCATAATATTTTGAAATTGTTCATACATATCACGAATAGTAAACTGACCATGTTTAATTTTTTCTATTAATTCTTCATTATCTTCTAGTTTAAGTTCATTTACTTTGTCAATAAGACCTTCTATATCACCCATACCAAGTAATTTTGATACAAATGGCTTAGTCTTAAAAGGTTCAAAATCGTCAATGTGTTCACCAGTACCAATAAATATAATTGGACTTTTAGTAGCAGCAACGCTAGTCATAAAATACAAAAATAAATAATGATTGAAAGTGAAAAAATATACATATTAAAAAAATAAAAATATTATAAACTTTTAATTTCATTAAGAATGTTAGATATTCTTGGCCACACCATCCAAATAGGACAGTAAGGCCGAGTTGATAACACAGCAGTGCTTGACATACACTGCCTCAGGTTTGAAACTCGGTCATGGGCGGCTTTATTTGCTGAATGAGAGATCAATTCAGTAATTGGAGTCGCTATCCCTTTCTCTGGCAACAAACTAACCACTCATCCCGGAGTATCAATGGTTAAGAAAATTTCATTAGCCATAATGGGCTTATAAGGCGTTAAAAAAAAAGAATGTTTGATTGTATAATTATGTAATCAAATGAGCTAAATCAGGTAAGTAAAGTTTAACTCTCTTAGATTAAGTATAAAAGCAATATAATAATAAAATCACATGACTAAACAAATTAAATAGTTTTGAGGTTAGACGGATAATCAAATTACACAATATTTAGTTTTTTTAAATGATTTTTCATATGAACTAGTAGAAAAAATTTCAGGGACATGTATATGTTTTATAAATATTATATGCAATAAAACTAAAAATTTTGATTATAATAGAACTATTTTCTAATAATCTGAGAATTCTAGTCATTTTGAAATTTATACTTTGGTTAACTATAAAATCAAGTCAATATCATGTCTTTAAATAAAACATATATCTTTTTCTTTTCCTTGTCTTTATCCCAAATACTTGGAGTTGGCCACCCTTATATTATCCTCGTCAATACCACTGTTCTTTTGTACAACTAATCCTTACTCCTACTTATTCTTAGTCCCTTTCTTTCAATAGCTGATTTCCACATTTCTAACCTTTGATTAATTTCATCTCTATTTTCTTTTATTAACACTATCATCAGCAAATAACATGCCTCACAATACCTCTCCTCGTATTATTTAGTAAATTCATTTATCACTATACAAAACAAGTAAGGGAAGAATATTGATACACTACTACTTTTACCTTAATCTCTTTTGTTATTCCGCTCATAATTTTTACGAGAATACAAGTGCTATCGTACATATCCTTTATTATACTAATGTACCATTTTGAGTTTTCTGTTTTCATTAATGCCCATTTAAAAAAAACCTTCTCGGTACTCTATTATACGTTTTTTCCAAATCTATAAATACCATACACAGCTTTTTTGTCTTTTTCCTATATATTTCTATTAATTGTCTCACACAAAAAAGTCTCGCTCTATTATTGACTTTCCAGACAAAATACTAAACTGGATTTTTTTTTATTTAACTGAAACATTTATTAATCTAATTTTATAAAAATAGAGGGAAATATATCAAAATCAAAGTGTGTTAGCACTACTTTGCCATTAAAATTAAAATATACTTCATTATAAAAATTCAAAAAATAATTTGTCAAAATTTTATTACGCGCTGAGAGCTCCTCCTCCTTTGGCATGACCATCAAGTTTAGTGATTACTACAGAACCAATATTAACTTTTTCTTTAAAAGCTTTTGCTTGGCCTTCACAAGCTTGACCTATTGTTGCATCCATCACAAAAACAATGTTATCTGGTTTCTAAAGTATATATTATTTCAATTAATAATAATAATATAAATAAAATCACTGCAGTAGTCTTACAATAGTATTAGAAACTTGCAACATTTCTTCAAATAATGATGCTTCTTGTTTATGGCGTCCACTAGTATCAACAACAATAATTTCAAAACCTTCTTTTTTAAACATGTCTACACCATCTTGAGCTATAACAACAGGATCAACTTCTGTGTAGCTAAAAAATATTTAAATGTTTTTCATTGAAATAATTATTCAAATTTTACAAACAGAATAATTCTAATGATAATGAATAAAATTTATCAATAACTTAGAATACTCTGTACTACTGCCATACATCAGACAATATTATCTAAAATTATTAAATTTTTTAAGATTTAAGTATATTTAGATTTAATATTTAAGTCTCTCTTTGATGATTTACATTCTTATAATTATTGTATTAAAAAAATTGCCAACTTTTATAGCAAAATTCAATTTAAATAAAAAAAAAAAAAAGCAAACAAATAGTTTTTAACTTTTAAAACAAAAATAGATACTTTAATAGTAATTTTACCTTCCATAAAATGGAATTTGTGCTTTTGTAGCATTTTGTTTCAATTGGTCATATGCTCCAGCTCGAAAAGTATCAGCACAAACAAGACAAGTTTTCCAATTTTTTTTTAAATAATAATATGCTAATTTAGTACAAGTTGTTGTTTTACCAGAACCTTGTAACCCTACAAACATTATAATATTAGGGCGTCCCTTGACAGGTTGATATGATTTTACTCCTGGATCAACTAACTACAAATTTCATAAATTAAAAGCTTTTGTAAGATAATGTAATATTTGGGGTAAAACCTATATAAAACAATTTTTTTTTCATACTTTAACTAATTCTTTAAATACTGCACTTTGTATCATGCGCCTTTTATTAAGGCCACCAGCCATTTCATCAAAATCAATAACATTACGAACATTTTCTCTTAATTTTTTAACTAGCATAACATTTACATTAGCTTCGAGAAGTGCTGCACAAATATCTTTAAGCATAGAGTTTAAAACCTACAAAAAATTAAAAATATAAGTTATCCTTAATTAAAAACTAAAAAAAACATGTTCATACTTCTTCATTGATTACACTAGCATTGTTCAAGCCCCGAAGGGCTGAAGTGATCTTTCGGCCCAAATCGGCCAAAACCATTTTGATTTCAATTAGAAAAAACAAATGTCTCAAAGATTCACATAAGTGATTTTGCCATGCAAACTATTTGTTTTCTAATCAAAAATTTCATTTATAATTATCAATCTACTGATAGCAATCCTTTATACTACGTATACAGAATATAATATTAAGGTTAGTCATAAACAGTGTTTCCAAACTTCAAAATGATAATCTTATCTTATCATATTTCTAAAAAAATTAATATTGTCAAGAAAAATGCTTTATTAAATTATATATGGAGTAAATTTTTGAATAATGAAATGTTATTATTATTTTTTTTAATATATAAAATTAAACTTAGAAATTTAAAATAGATTCAAATAACGTTGATATCAAAACGTAATAAAACCACAAAACAGCATAATCATAGAAGTTTTTCTGTGATAAAACGATATTTTCAAACACGTTAATGATAAGTTAGGTATACGTAAATTATCTTGATGTACGAACTGAATATGAGTCGTGGAATTCCAAGTGATTTACTTAAAAACAATAGCTACGTTAAATTTTAAATGATATGGAATAGTTTGAAATTTTTTTTGTACACTTTATTTTTTCACAACTTTTAGTAATACTTTTATATTGCTACAGCAATGGTGTATAATAAATTTGAAATAATTATTTAGGTAACATTTGGAAATGATAGTTAAGTTGAAATAAAAAAAATTGTTTTTATTCAATATTATCGATGTTCGAAATCACAGATTTGCAAAGTAAGTCAAATTTTATACTTGTCTGTGATTTTTAATAAGCTTAAAATTTTTATTTTCAATTAGAAATTGGAGTCGGACTAGCCGGCTTTGGGATTACATTCTTATTTTTGGGTATGTTATTACTTTTTGACAAAGGATTGCTAGCTATTGGTAATGTAAGTAACATACTATTAATATCATGTAACTCAGATGCAGTAATCTTAAAATATTGATTATTTAATAACTTTAAGATACTATTCATTGTTGGATTAAGCTGTGTAATAGGAGTTACAAGGACTCTAAAATTTTTTTTTCAACGTCATAAGATAAAGGCCTCGGTTTCATTTTTTGGTGGTATCTTAGTTGTTTTATTTGGATGGCCATTAGTGGGAATGTTATTAGAAATCTATGGATTTATTCTTTTATTCAGGTATATTAGTTTTTAATAATTTAGAAAAATAAAAAAATTATAATTAATTTTGCTATCAATAAATTATTTTTATAATTTTTTATCTCTTTTCTAGTGGTTTCTTTCCAGTAGTAATAAATTTTATGCGTAGAGTTCCTGTTTTGGGCACACTTTTAAATCTGCCAATTTTAAGTGGAGTATGTAAATGTAGTTTAATTAAACTGATAAATTTTGATTGAATATTTAAATATTTCAATATAATTTCAGATATTAGATAGGATTGCAGGTGATACTAGTCGAACTATGGTATGAACTAAAATGAAACAATATTGGTAAACAATAGATTAAAAATCAGATGTTAAGAAATTATAATTTATCTTTTGTAAATGTTTTCTATTATGAAAGTTATATATTAATAGCGTATTTTAGGCATTAATATTTCAGGTTCTATATATTATATTTTATTCTGCATTATAAAACCTAATATTTATTAAAAAAATATTTCTTTTTGTAATATTTTAAATTTTATTTTAGGGTTTTCAATGATTGTGAATAATAATAAGAACTTAATACTACTAACTGGACATTCCCTGGGATCTTTTCCTGTTATCTATTATTTAAATTTATTATACATTTATAAATTACATAAAATTGTCTAATTAATTTTTAAAAATAGCAAACTTTGTATGTTTGTAAGATAAAAATTTAATTTTATAAAGCTATTTAAAATATTAAATTTATATTAAAAAACTGATGAAACAATACTTACAAGTATTTTAAATGTTACAATTTTTAGAATATTTTTGTTCTAAATATATTTCTTGATTTTAATTATAAAAAAAAATAAATCAGTAGACAATGTATGCTACCTCCATAGATCCATATCACAAGTTCATTAAAACAAATAAACAAAAGACTTCTAAAATTGGATTTTGTTGTATGGAGTTCAGCTAAGAAAAAAAATTTGTAGTAGAGAATAAAAGTTTAAAAGTACAGATATATTATATTATATAAGTGTATTATATTATGCTTATGTTTGAAAGTGACTAAAAAATAAAAAATCTTTTTTAAATTATTTACTTTACAATATCATCTTATTAAAACAATTTCAAAGGTTAGGTATAATTAGAGGGATAGTAAAATTATTTTTATTTTACTCTGTAACAATTCATATATTTTTATGTATTAGATTAAAAATAAGCTATTGCAAACTTACTTGATAGTTTAACCTTCCCCCCTCTCGAAATTTAATATAATGATATTTGCTAAGAACATTTTTATAGTTTAGCTTTAGATTCTGAGAGATTTGTCTACTTTCAGCTCATTATAAAGAGCGTTCGAAAACCTAATATTTAAAATGTATTTAAATATTTTAAATTAGCATATCAAGTGTTATTTGATAAGATGTTTGAAGGGTTTATCTTAATTTCTCCTCTTTAAAAAAAATATTTTTGTTTAAATTAATATGTAAGTTTCATAATTTTTAGGGACTGATACATAATAAGAAAAAAATATGAACATATTAGAACCCAAAGTGTGACTATGCACCTGTTCAAACCATTTTAAGTTATAATAAGTCATCAAAAATGAACAAATATTTTTTTGTGTTATCCACTGAAATATATTAAAAAATTATTCAAATGAATAATTTGTATTAATAAGAATTAATTGGAGTACAGTTGCGTGCTGTTAAAGAATTTATCTCCTTTTGTGATTTGTCGCCAAACAAAATAATGTGGTAGATGACTGGTTTATTTTATAAGAATAATTTAGTTAATTTAAACTAGTTTGTTTTTTATTTTATCGGTATCGTTACGTCACTATTATTACACATCGTTATGTGTAATAATGATTATACATGATATTATGTATAAATTTAACTATTTTATAAACTATTTATTGAAATAATTATTTACCTAAGTAGACCTGATAAAACTTTCGTTTATTTTTCAATTTTTGTTTTGTAATTTAAATTTATTATTATATCAAAAAAGTGATATTTTTAAATTAAAATTAATATAATATTAGCAGTTTTTTTAACGTGTTATAAGGGTAGTATTAATTAAATTGAGTAACCCAACTGCTTACATAATAAGCACACGAAAATTTTGATAATAAGCCCCTTAATTTAAAACGCCTGGACATGCTATTCAGTACTAAATAAGTAATAAGGTGATAGTTTCAAATTATTCACAAACTTTATTAATCGTCAGTTTTGGTTAATTCTTTTTATTGTATTAAAATAGTCGAACCACGGAAAAAGTCACTTGACAAAAATTTACGCGACAAATAGTCGCTTGATAAATTAGTCGATACGTGATAGTTCCCATCTCAAACTATGAGTGAAAAAAATGTATATATTATCAGCTTTACAGTAACCTTGAACATTTTGATAACATATGTTATGTTTTATGATTGACTAGAGATAAGAGTTATTTAACATTTATGTCCAATAATTAAATTTTTTGTCGAGTACTGGTTAATCTATATTCTTTTGTTTTTTTACATCATTTTGCAATGTTTTTTTTTACTCCTTTTATTCGCAATCCTATTACCGACTTGACTGGTCCTATCATGACTGCTCAATTAGGCCAACGTTGTGCAGAGTTTGAGATGAGAATGATGAACTGCTTTGAAGCTTATGGTAATCCTCTAGGCTATCAAAAATGTCAAGATTACTATGAAGATTTTAAAGAATGCTGTACTCGTGAAAAACAAGTAAAAAAACTAGATTGAATGTCTCTAGTTTGTTAACGTTTTTAACTTGTTTAAATTTAATAGTATAAATTATTTAATAATGTTATGTTAAATATTTTTGATGCAAAATTGATCGTTAATTAAATTATAAGTTTCCCAATACTATTTTTAAAAACAAAATGATCAATTTTGAGTAAAACACACATTTTCTCACAAAATTATTAATAAATTTTAATTTTTTATATTGAATAAAAAACTATAGTATTATGTAGTCAAATTATTATATATTTCTTCCCTTCAGGAATATAAAACCTCGGCTTTAATTTTTTCTAATGGGAATCCCAATTATTAATTTGATAATACTAGGAAAAAAAAATTATAAAAAATTTTTGTTATATCATAACAAGTTTAACAAATAAGTTTTTTTTATCTATTTCAGCATTATAAATTAACTAATCTGAGATCAATGAACTAATAATATATCATTGTTAAGAATAACTGAATTAAAATTTTTATATTTTGTCACATGAACTAGTGACTAATTTAAATAAAAAAATCTTATCTTTGTTAATTCAAGTCTATTAATAGACATACTCTCTTCTATTCATTGCAAGTATACTATCAAATTTAATGTCAATTACTGGTATAAAAAACTTTTTTTGATAAAAATCATAAAGAATAGTTTATGATTTATTGAAAAGGTTGTGAGAAAATGAGTAAAAAATTAATTATCCTATATATACATACATTTATATACATATATGTGTGTGTGTGTATTTCAGATCTAATTAACAACACATAACTTTTGATACAATTATCATTGTGTTGAAATTTTTCATAAAATTAATTTATGCATTTTTAGACCATGTTAAAGTCATATATTTTATACTATTTAAGCATATTAGTATAATCAAATTTTGAACTGTTACATTTTATTTGATACTGAATAATTTACTTACTGTAAATACTTACAATTTAAATTATTTTAAGATTTTTTATTAGAAAGAAAAAAACTAAAGAACCCAAATTGACTTATCATGATAAGTCAATTAGAAATTAAAATTTTATTTTACTCTTACTAAAAAAACATGACATTTTTTTTTATCATTTATTTTGAGCCAAAATAATTCTTGTTTTCCAATGCTAGGAAAAAAACAATCTAAAAATAAAATTCCAAGTTTTATTACAATTATATTATTCTCTAAATTGTAAATGATATCTTCTTTAAAAAAAAATATTTTAATTATTTAAGGATTATAAATAGATGATATTGGAAAAAATCATTATATGGTTATAAAAAATTTTCAGTATATGTTAGAATATCAGTATTGATTAATTTACTACACAAACTTCTAAGATAAATAACTTATATATATATATTAATTTTTAAGATGACGAGAATTTATGCTATTCAAAAGGAACGATCATTACAAGCTAAAATTCAAGGTAAAGGAAAAGAATATGAAAATCCACCTGTTATGCATACATTTTAAATAAATCAATAATGTTTTGTAAAAATAAAGTTAATGTAGAGTATTTATATTCAAAGTTGTTTTAATTTTAAATGGTAGTTAATCAGTTTTGTACAAATAATCATATTTACTTATTGGTTTAATTATAAAATATTAACAAACAAATGATTAAATTTAATTTCCATTTGTTTTAAGTTTTTTGTTAGCACTGTTGCTATCTTCATTCTTTCGCTTATTATTGAATCTTTTTGCCCCTTTATTCTTATTTCTTTCCCTCTTCATTTTATCCTTCATTTGGAGGATTCCTTTCATCTCTTTTGTCATTTCATTTAATACAGATTGTTCTACACTATCCTCAGGCAATGAAAAAGTAATATTTAGGTCATTAGTCTTATCAGCTATGTTTTTTAATAATTCTTCAGCAATTGTAACTGGTTTTAATCGAATCCAAGCACTTAATTTATCTTCATTAATTTTTACAAAAGCAACTTGCCACTCATAACTAGAGCAAATTTCTTTAATTTTATCAACAGAGACAGCATCAGTAAGATTATCAGCTTTGATTAAATATCCTTTTTTGAAATATTTTTCAGTTTCTGCCTTTTGTTTTTGGTCTTTTCTAGCAAGTTTTTGATCATACTCAACTTTTTTTTGGTCAAGGAAATCTTTTTCCCACTCTCTTTCCAACTCTACATCTCCATATTTAACAGATTCAAGTTTTAAAAATGCTTCAGCTTGCTCTTTAGTTTCAAAAGTGAAATAAAGAGTACCTTTAAACTCTTTTGTCTTTTGTTTCCTTGGGATAACTTTAGTTATTTTAAAATCTTTCAAAGATGCAGCATAATCGAGTAATTCATCCATAGTCGCCGTTTTAGGAAAACCTTTACAGTAAATAGATCGTTCAATCATTTCATTTAGATATTCTTGATCAGCAATAGGTATAACTTTCTCTGGTTTACGCCTAATCTTGTCTTTATTTTCATTTACTTCTACAATACTGCTTGTAGCTTTCTGAATTGCATTAGCAATCACCAATGGATCCTTAGAAATAGAAGCTAATCGCTTAAATGTTAATAAAACACTGATTTTAACCCAACCATCATCTTCTTTTATTTCGTTCTGTAAAAATTTGTCATATGGTAAGTTTGTGTCACTGAAATAGTACTCCAGCTGTTTGAGAATTTTTGAATCAACTTCATCATTAACATTTTCAACACTTTTGACATCAGTTGACTCCATATTATCAACTAAAATATAAATTAATTAATATTAAGTCAGAATTACAACTATTTATTTGTTATTTCAATACTTACACAGTATGTTATTTAACTAAATGAATTGTGTTTAATTAAATAATGTATTTATTTAAACATAAAAACCAACAAGTTACAAAGAAATTTTAACTATTTCAAAATAATTAAAAAAACAAAAAAGAATTACAACTACAGTAAATATATTCTATGATAATTAAAAAAATGTGAATATGTACTATGCGGTATGTAACATAAGCCGCTTTATCATGCGTGCTTGTCACTTGTCAGTGTTAACACGAGGTTATTGCAAAGAATAATGTTTAGATGAACAACTTACGATTAACAATCATGAAGTACGTAAAGAGTAATGTATTCTATTTGTATATTTGAGGTTAAATAAACAGAAATGTGGGCATTGGTGCATAAATTCCTAGAGTTACTTTTGCCACATTACACTTAGAACATTTTAATTCAAATTATTTTTTTGGCTACATCTCCCTCATTTCGAAAAATACTCTGATAGATATTATAATATCAAGAATAGTTTTTTTGAAGTGTTTAATTAAGATAGATAAGATCAACATATTTTGAAGATACTTTGTTGAAATAAAGCTTATTTTGTTCATAAAACTTTAAAAAAATTTGTGTGCGGAGGAAGATGAAATACCTTTAGTATATTTTATTTATCTGAATAATTATTTTTAATACATAGAATTTATATTTTGGTAAGGCTTTTTGTTAGTTATTTCCATACAATTGTCTACATTATATTTCAATCGGAGTATTGGTATTCGTAGTATAAAAGACTCGTGGAAAAAGCAAATCCGTTTTCTTCGGTTTATGCAATTATCATTAATAAAACCTAAAGATGATAAAATTATCAAATTTTATTAATATCAGTAGTGTTTTGTGACAAAATATGGATGTTTGAAAAAGAAGGTTCCTCTACTTGAAAGAACAAAGTGTAGGTAAAGTTTAAGTTTTTATTTTTTTGTGTTTCCTGTTAAAGATATTTTATTAAAAATAATTTAAATGTTAAAATTATCTATATGAAAAAAGAAACAAATTAAGTTCTGTTTTGTTAAAAATAGTATAATGTTGACTGAGTTAAATACATTTTATTACAAATATGAAAAAATTCAGTTTTTTTTCTTGAAGTCTTGCAACATTTTCAACAAATATTTTTTGATCATGTGTTGATTTATAATAATTTTTATAATTTTGAATACTTAAAATTGGAAAATTACATATATTGATTATATTTATATGTTTTTCTAATTTTATTTAGAAATAACCTATTTTGTGTTTAAAATTCAATAAAAGAATATAAAGAGGATATTTGTAGGTATTTTAAGAGAGTATAAATCTGGTATTTAGTCATGAAATGTCTAAAATGATTATTTAATTATTATAGATATTATTATATAGACACTATTATTTTAGATTTTGTATAATGTTTAATACTCCACGATTAAAGAAAGAATTAAACCAATTAATATGTAAACCCCCAGATGGAATGGAAGTGAACATTAAAGAAGGGTCTACTTCTATTTTAGAGGCTCGTGAGTACTAATTTAAACTATATTTTTATAAAAATTATATTATTTATAAAAATATATTAATGATTTTTGCATATTTTTTTTAGAACTCAAAGGCCCTCCAGACTCTCCTTATGAAAACGGTATTTTTAAATTGCAGCTAGAACTACCACCAAGGTACATACACCACTATTTAGATAAGTTGGGTTTTATATTTACCTACACCTTATCATAAGAGTTTTTTATTTTAATCAAAAAAGTTGAATTAATAAATAAAAATTTTGAGTATATTTTTGTATTGTTAAGGAAAATATTTAGTAATCTTAAAAGACATCAATAGTTACAAGTTCAAACAATTAATTTTTAAAATATTTAATTAATTACGTAAGAACAATTTTCATAAAAAAATTTCTATTAATATTTTCAAAAATTATTAGTATTTTCCAAAAATAATATTGAATTTTTTTTTACTTTCTTTACTACCTTGGAGAATGCCAAAAAAGATATCCATAAACAGTAACTTACACCATTGATTTTAACTTCAATGCGAAGTTAAGAAGGTATTAATTATTCTATGATGGGTTTTTTTTGTGTCTGTCACTACTTTTTCTCAGATCAATTTTTTTCAATGATATGTTAAAAGATCTTAAATTCTATTTAATTAAAGACATCACCCTCAATAATTGATAAATTTTCCCTTGTTTTTACAAATTGTTTTCTATTGGTAAGATAAGACTTCAACAACAAAAGAATAGAATTACTAAATTTTTATAAGGATTCCATGATCAGAGTGAAATGTCTTATTAAAATCATTAAAGTTGGTACCAACTTGCTCATCTTTACAAAAGCTATCAAGAATAAAGGAGAAGAAAATCAAGGTATTATTAACTGTAGATTTCCCAGGACAAACTATGCTGGTTATCATAATTACATAGTTGAGACTTCTTGTTACATAATCATATATGATTGATTCAAATATTTTAGCAAGATAAGATAATATAGAGATAGGTCTCTAATTTGAATCATTAGATAGATTGTCTGATTTAAAAGAGGAGTGATGGCAGATGTTTTCCAAACTGTAGGAAAAATGCCTTTGTCTAAGGAGATATGAAAAAGCAAGTAAACACGATAAGCATTCAATAATTGATACTCGTACAAAAAATGGGCAAAAATACAATCAGGGCCATTTGACTGGTTATTTTTTAAGGTAGAAAGAGCAGTTAAAATGTCATTATAAGTAAAGTGATAGTTATTTGGAATATTTAATCTAAAAACTTTTTAACTTGATTTACAAGAGCAATTTGGGGGGGTCTAAAGAGTTTGAATTCTCCTCATTACACAGTTCCCTTAAAAGTTATGAAAATTTTTATAAAAATATTTTTAAAAAGGAGAGAAATTAAATTATTTCACCCAAACATTTTTTTAAATTGTGCTTATGATATAAAAGAAATCAAAAAATACTAAGGCTGAAATAGAGAATTGTTTTTTAAAATATTCTGAGCAATCTGTTAAATGCTAATGGTTGATCGAATAAAAAACATTTCAATAAAAGAGTTGTTTGTAATTTTTTCTTCTATCAAATTATAAAGTTGAAAATAGGGGTTCCTATTTAAGAAAATGATAAATAAGAATTTTTATTCTTAAAGAAATAAAAAAAAAACTGTATATTATTGTAGAATTTTTTAAATCTTATTTTTTTTTCTCTTTACAAAAATTTAGAATTCTCAATAGTTTCTAAAAAAATAAGTGTCTTACCAGATTTCAAATACCCTATTTATGTTGTTATTTTATAACTTTATAAATCATTATATGTATACCTGAAAATATAAAATAATTTATAAAATGAAAAATATGTGTGTTACTATATAAACCTAAAAAAATGAATTTTTATCAAAAATAAATCAATTATCTAGTTAAGCTATTTAATTAAAGAACATGCAATTTTTTATTTATATTTATTAAAAAAAGTAAATGATAAAATAAATGTTAGAGAGAAATGTTTGTTTTTATCCATAATATAGGAAATAGTATTTTTGAAACAATTTGTAAAAATTTTATTTTTGCAGTTATGTTTATTAAATAACCATTTTTAACTATTCTATAACCTAAGGAATACAGAATATTTCATTATACTTACTAACACATTTTAGTTTTTAAAGTAATTTTTAACCAAATATTTTCAATTTAATTAACTTTAATCTGTATTTTTATTACACATTTAAAATCTTTTATTTCATTAGGTATCCATTTGAACCTCCTAGAGTGACATTTAAAACTCCGATATATCATCCAAATATAGACAGCAGTGGTAGAATATGTTTAGATATTTTAAAAATGCCTCCTACAGGTGCTTGGAAACCACTTATTACACTAGAAGGTGTTTTGGTTGCTATATGTAATTTAATGAATTGTCCAAATCCAAATGATCCACTTGTACCTGATATTGTAAGTATTTCATCTACCTAATGTATACACATATTTTATCTATAAAGAAAAGGGGACTATTTTTTTATTTAAAATGCTTCTTAGCTATTGGAATTTTTACTATAAAAACCTATAGCACATCATTTATATTTCCTTATTTAAATAAATTGGTATTGAGTAATAAAGGAAATATTTCATAAATAATTTGTTTTTAAAGTAATAGTTTAGATGGGCCAAGTGTGTTATATCGGTCTGAATGTTATTATGATTATTGAAACTGGTAATATGAAATTACCATAATTAACATTACTATGTACTAATTTTAGCGTTAAATAAAACGGTTTGTTTAAAAAATTTTTGGTTTGGTTAGTAACTTTGGTGTTTCAATAAATGTTTTAAATATATAAACTATTCTGGGTAATTGTGAATTTAAAATATATTACTATATATTTTTATTGTGATATTAAATATGTTCATTAGTTGATTTGGTATTAAATTTTAAATCTCACATCCCCCCAAATTATTTATCATAATAAAAATGCGAGTGAGTATTAAATTCTGGAAATTAAGCCAATGAGCATGAACTTATCTTGCTACTTTTCTAAAGTGAATTTTTTGTAAATTATTTTATTTTATTTTATTATATACATTACATAAGTTATTATTGTTATGTTTAACTATTATTATAATTTAATTCAGGCAAAAGAATTCAAGACTGACAAGGAGTTATATGAATCTAAAGCTAGAAATATCACTAAAATACATGCCACCACATCGAAATTGAATAAAGAATAAACTTAAATAACAATTTTTACAAATTCTAAAACCTATTTTTATTATAAACAATTTTTTTTATATATTATATACCTTATTAATATTTAATTAAATATTTTGTATAAATTTGTAAAATATATTTAATTATAATTTCTATTTGTTTTTACTATCCTTAGATTGATTCAATGACTAATGAATCTCCTATCTTCCTTATTTATAACAGTTACTTTAAGATTTTTCTTTATTATTGTTATTATCCATTCATTGTTTCTCATTAGATATCCAATCCATTTTTTTTTATTTTGAATTTTGAGAAATTTATTTTGTTTTTTAATTTTGTGCATTTTCTGAAAACGAAAAAGGTTGGTGTACCATAACCTTTCACCAAAAAAATTTAATTTGAAACTTTCTTTATGGACATTTTTTAGTACTTTTTTTAACATTTTTATTACAAGCAAAATTATCTATTTTCTAAGTGTATTGGGTCCTGAAAAATAAAAAACATAAGATATAAAAATAACAATTTTTGTATCATAAAATTTATGTTTTATTTTTTTATTAATAATCCGTAACTTAGTTCTGTAAATTTTTTTTTTAGATAAATTTAATCTTTCAAACAAAAAATTATTATTAATATCAAAAGCATAGTAGAGTAGTTTGACAGTAATTTCAGTGACTGTCAAACTTTAAAACTGTCTCGAAATTTGCAAAAGGCTGGGCTATATTTATAAGCTATTTTAGAAATGTGCTATTAATTTAAAACTTGTATCAACAAAAGCGTAATTAAATGTTCAATAATTGAGAGAAAAAATAGCATTTTTCTAATCATTTTAAGCTGATTATGAACATAAGTCATCAAAATATCATATATGCTAACATTATTGTCAGTATAGATATTTGAAGGGCACAATAACATCCATTATTTTTTTCTTTAATTTATTATTATAATAATTACTAGGTTTAAAAACAAAATCGAAATACTTGTGTAAAAAATGATTTTGAATCCATTGATAGTGAAAACTTTTTGTTAGAATCTAACAATTTTTGTTAAATAATGTTGTCAATACTTTCAGTTAAGACACTTGAATATATAGGGTGTTCAGTAAGTCAGAAACCCGTTTCCTGACTTACTGAACACTCTGTATAATCACATACAATAATCCTTATGAGTTTTAAATTATTAATTTTGATATTTATAACAAAAAAATCATACTGGTTTATAATATAAATTATAGGATCCATTGAAACAATGAAAACTTTTACAATTTTTGTAAGATACCAGTTTGTTTATAACAGAATTTTGTCAAATATTTCAGTTGGCGTTTTGCATTCGATAGTTCATATATTTTCTCTTAAATTTCTAATTTTTTGAGTATATACTTACACAATTAAATTCTATTTAGCTTAGAAATTATTATCATAATTCTTGATTAATCTAAACGGTACGCCACTATTACGAAGTTAATCAAAGCATTCCATTAGTAAGTGACACATCGTAAAGATATTTTATTTTTTACGATTTATTGCTTTTAGTCGAAGAAAGCATTTTCAGAGATTTTATACAATTTACAGTTATTAATTAAAGTTTTATTTGTTTATAGTGGCAAAAAATTATAAGAAATCTGTTGTTAAACATTTTTGAAACGAGAAATAAAAAGTACACTCGTGTTCCTGCTAAGATTATGAAAAAGAATCGCATGAGAAGTATTTATAAGAATTTGAACCGAAAAAATAATTTAGAAAATATAAATATATCAACAAACCCAGAAAAAATCTTCCACCAAATGAAGTTAATGAAGTCAAAGAAAGCTTTCTTAAGACTATAAGAAAAGAATCCCCGAGGAATCAAGAAGTCAAAAGTAATTTTATTATAATCTTTCTTAAAATAAGTAAATAATATTATCTAAAATAATAAAAAACACAGAATAGTTACTTTACTAGTTATACAACTTAAGTGTGTGACATTTAAAACTATTGAATTCCCACTTAAATAATAAAACTATAATTTTATTAAACATATTTACCGTATCAATATATCTTCTAACATAAATTTTTGGGTCAAGGCTTAAAAAAGAAATTAATCAAAATGGCCAAAGAAAAAGAACATTATTTCAATATATAAGAATTATTTCATCAATAATTTAGTTTTGCTGAGTAATAAAATAGAAATAAAAATTGTTTAATTTTAGGGTTGATAAAAATTTAAATGTTTTCTAGCTTTCAATATGCGTAAAAATCACCAAATAGCTGTCAGCACCTTTAACGTAAATAACTGTTCTAATATAAATGATTCAGACAGTATTACTTCAAATTCTAACTTTACAAAAAATGAACATCAGCTATTGAATACTTTATTGATACGCCTCAAGACGAACAAATGGTGTATTATTATACTCCCGAATCGTATATACCAAGTTTTGCAAATTACATAGATCTTACTCTAGGTGATGAAGAAGAGACTCATGATTGATCTTATATGATTATTGTAGAGTCGCGGGAATATATTAAAATGAACTTGACTCCTAGCTCAAGTCCTCACGACAGCCATTAAGAAGAACAACAAGTTTATGATGGTCAACACGAATCTTTTTCTGCAGCTGATTCAAAGAAAGATATGCATGGAAAGTCGGACTGTTATAACACAAGTTCCATGAAAGCAAATCTTAGTGCTACCACTGATATATATATATGGAAATAATCAAATAGCTGTTTATAATGACAGTGTCAGTACCTTTAGTGCACAAAACATTTCTTATTTATCTACTTTAAATGATTTAGGCAGTTTTGCTACAAGTTTTAACTTTACAAAAAATAAAACATCAGCTATTGGATACTTTATTGATACGCCCTCAAGGCGAACAAAAGGTGTATTACTATACTCTCCATTTGTTTATTACAAGTTTTGCAAGATTCATAAATCTCACTGTTGATGATGAAGATGACATAAAAATTTTGCAAACAATACATTTATAATAATTATTTAATTAGAAATTTTTATTTAATATTTTTTTTTCTCAGTACTTTAATTTTTATCAATTTATATTTCGAACAAATGTAATAAACTTCTTTTATTTCATTAATTTTTGTATTTTTAACAAATATATTTCTTTAATTTTTAAAGAAACTATCTACTTGGACAGAATACACTCTTCAGTATCCTAAAAATACTTTTTATAATAATCAGTTAACCTTCACAAATTATTAATTAATCATTAACATACAATAAATATAGTCTTAAATAATAAATATAATATATAATATATAAAACACTTTTTGAGAAATTACCTACTTTAATTACTTCATAATTTTAAATATATGTAAATCTCGACTTTTTAAATTTTTTTTCTACAGTATTATAATTTTTTTATAAATAAACAAAAAATTATTTTTTTTTATAATTTCCTTATGTGGTTATCTTTCATTTGATACACATTTCAAAAAAATTTAACTCTATACCTGCCCACAGAGATGATTCAAAATAGCAACTTTTGCAGCATAACTTCTGATAATGTTCGAAAAATACTGCGTCCATAAAGAAGGCAGTATTTAACATATGTTAAATTTAATCTTTTATTACATATTATGCGTTAAAAAAAATTTTTTTGTCCTGATGATTTCTCTTCTATGTGCAAATAGCTTCTACAGTTAAAAATATGCTATTTTTATGTTATTTTTTTGCCTGTCACTACTTTTGTTCAACTTTCACTGGAACGATTTTTCTCAACGATTCGTCAAAAGATCACAAAACGTATATAGTTGAAAACATTACCCAAAAAAATTGAAAATTTTGCCCTCGCTCCCCGTAAATGGTGAAAATCCCCCAAAAATTACGTTTTTTAAAATCTGTAAATTTCGACATATTTTTCATAATTTTTTCTAAAAATTGCCATAAAATATTGAAAAATAGACGAATCAAAATAATTTCTAATTGAAACTATAGATATTTCCATTTCATTTTATATAAAATTGTTAATAATTTCACCTTGTACCTGCCCACATGGGATTCAAAATAGAAACTTCTGTACAAAAATTTAACATTTTCAACTTAAGTTTTGATTACATAGATCCTTGTTTGTTTTTTTAATAATTCTGAAGAACTTTTCTAATTAACTTTCATAATTTAAATATGAGACCGGTATATAACGTTTTGTTGCCTGAGACATTACAAAAAAACTCAGCACAGGTGGGTCGCGTCACAGTGGTGACGTGCATTAGTTGGATCAAGTATAATAATATCTGACAGTGATTAAAATCACTATCATAAAAAACGCTTCGATGCAAATCTTTGGATAGTGTTTAATTTTAAAAAATTGGTGGATTATTACAAAAGCTACATCTCTAGAGGTGACTTTATGGTTGGTAATGTATTAACACTTTGGTGATAACACTTAGGTGGGTAAACCGAATCAAGACAATTCGGTATGAGGTGCGCACAATGGACCAACAGGTCTGAGTGCATGGGCATTATGTCCACCTCAATAATAACTAAAACTAAAACTAAAATTACAAAAGCTATATGATCTGCTATTTCCTTATTAATATCCTGATTAAGATAAAGTATGTCAAATGAAAAATGGATATAAACATTATTTCTCATAAAAAAATTATATTGATCCATAAATTTTTCATTAATTTATAACATTAAAAATGTAAAAATATAAAAAAGAATTTTTTTTTCTAAAATAGTATTTTTTTTTATTAACTTTGATGTCTGTTTTCATTGTGAAGAAAAAATAAAGTACGAAATTTTTTTTTCCATAATAAAGTATATTACACAGAGTGAACAATTTAGCTGGATTTGTTGGAATACATATAAATCTGTAAAATATTATTAATATTTTATTTTAATTACATTGTTAGGCATATTTTATTATTAATAGGTGTATTTTATAATAATTGATTAGATATAACATTAAAATTGAAAACAACTATTTAACAATTAAAAAAAAATAAAACATCTTACCTCTTTTATTATGATACGCGCTAATAGGTGTATATTTCTTTACTTAATCGTATTTGAATAATTTGGTTATAAGTTATAACTTAACTTATAACTCTATTTAATGTGATCGAAACATACTCAAAATCATTAAAAATTATCGATTATTTTTATCAAACGATTTAATTTCGAATAAATTTTCGAGAGATTCACTTGAATATAAATAATTTGATCATCAAAATCATTCAATTATATCTATCACTAATTTTTTTTATACAGCCCAGTAGTTTATTTTTAGCATAAACTATCCACTGGCTTGATAATGAAGAAAATATTAATGTCATATTCCCCCTATGTCATAACTAATTATGGCTAAATTACAAATTTTATTTGTTCGGAGTGAGAATTGAAAAATTGTCTTATGTACGAAGCTCCAATTATGAAAATATGTAATTGATTTATTAATAATTATTATTAGTTGTGTCTATATCTTTGGTACATATCTACTTTTTAATTTGGATAATATTTAAATAATATAAAAATTTAGTTTTCAATAATATTGTTGTTCAAAATCATAATAGACTATTCACACTTAACTCAATACTTTATTTAATTAAACAAAGTTTTCTGGAAATTTAATATAATGTTTTTATGAAAAAATAACTACGAATTTTTAATTTAAATTAATTTTGTACAATCAACAAATTATTTTTGTTAATTTAAATAATAAACTTTTTAATAATTTTGAAGTACAATTTCTAAAAATGTGAGTGCTCATTAATCATTTCTAACATATAAATTTGTTAATTGAATAATATTTTTTCAGTGAAACAAAATATAAGATTCAATAAAATTACTATTGAATAAATAAATAAATAAAAATAAATAATGAATAAATTAACATTACAGATTTTAACAATGATATTTACATTAATAGAACCATTTCTAAATACAAATTTGTTTTAAAAAATCTACTGGATTCTAAAATTATATTAAAATAATGGTCATTTTACTTTTTAGTTATGTATTTATATAATTTTTTCCCAAATTATCACTTTAAACTAATATGGGTTGAATATCAAAATGATTTTAATCGTAAAATACAACATGTTCAAATGTCAATCATTTAATTATTCTATAAAAATAAATATTCCATATATGAATAAACATAAAATAACAAATAAATTATGAATGTACAAGTAACAAATGTTTTATCCCCAAGCTTGAGTTCTGCAGTAGTGTAAAATTATACGACCATTAGTATTGTAACAATCATATAAATTCTTCATAGTTTGATCAGGTGATGGTGCAAATGCTTGATTGACATATAAAAACTGAAATTTCATTAACAACTTTTTCATTTTCTAACAAATTATATATTAAAAACTTACTAATGAATCAGTAGGTTCAAGTTTTAACAGTTTGCGCAAAAATTCAATTATGGCAGCGACCGTTTTTTCTTTTTCAACCATCCATTTTTTTGTCTTTAAAATTGGAGCATTTCCAGTCGCTTTCAACAATATCTCAACTATATATTAAAATATTAGTTTATTTATGCATATATATGTAATAATTTTAGAACTATATTTAATATTCAGCGACAGTGAAAATCATAATTTGACAACCAAATTAATATTAATATTTTTTTTCTTAAACTTGGAAGTACTGCTAAGAATTAATTTAGGTTCTAGTAGTTATCCCTTCAAAAAATTCAAATTAAATATAAAATCATATAAATAGTCATTTGTTAAAAGTCGTCTATGTGTATTTTACCAAAATTTTCAAAACAGTCAAAAAACTATCTTCTTTATAACTTATTTAAAATTTGAGATCTATAATAAAATTTATTTTAAAATAGATGAAGAAAGTAAAAATTAAGTTTATTTATTAACATGCATAATAAAACTAATAGTTTTCATTTTTCAAAATCTGCAATTTTAAATTCATTTATAATTCACTTATTGCATATATTTTTGGTTTTTATTCATAATGTTTGAACGAATATTTATAGAAATAATATTAAAGAGATACTTCATCTTCTAAACACACTAAAGGAATTCAATAATATCAACCGAAAAAATAAAACCTTTTTAAATAATGTATAATCCCTCATTATATTTTATCATTACAAGTTTTAATGAGCCTTTTATTTTAAAAATACATACATCCATAACTTTTTTTAGATAAATTTTTAACTAGCTTGTATAACTAATAAAGAGTAAACAAAAATTAATTTTGGACATACTCTTTTCATGACAGGATGATTTAAATAATAATGTACTAAAATTTTGAAGTCAAAAATTTCCTATAGATCCTTTTAAATAAAAAACTTATCTTATATAGTCAATAAATTATTTAAATAATTAATTTATAATAAAAAATTATAAGTTTTAATTGTAGAATAATAAGAAAAATTAATTAAATTAGGTGAAAATTTTCTTTCAAAACAGACTTAAAAATGTTTTTTTTAATGTACCAGTTGATCTTACTTTTTTCTTTATTATCTGAAGATGGTTTATTGCTCACTGATTCCTGACAAGACGATTCCATAACTAGAGTTACTTATTTTAAGTGCATTTGAAATATATAAGTTCTTTATTTTAATAAAACGAAAAATACATATTATAACTAATTTTTTTGTGTATTTTTTTATTTATCTCAAGTTATTTAAAAATATATTATAATTATTATTGTTAAATGATAACAAACGTGATCTGTTGTAATTGATAATGCTTATGTAAAATAGATAATGTTTATCACAAGCTTGGAAAATAACGAGACTAACAATACTGTTCAGAAACATCTCATCAAAAATCTTAAACAAATTGTATTCTCTGAATTATAATTAAAAATATTATTAAATAGATTAACATATACAGGGTGGCCCACCACTCACTGACAACTTAAATAACTTTTGATCCAGTTAATATTTTTAGTTGATTTTTTTTTTAAATAATATTTATACGTTAGGTCTATAGCTATATCTCAATAATTAATTTTTTTACATTTTATTAAAAATATTAATTATTTTAAAATTTTAAATAAAATGTAAAAAAAAAATCTAAGATAGCTATTTTGTAGAGTAGAATTTAAGAAAAATTTTAGTAAAAAAATATCTTATTAATATTCAGTAGTAAATATTCTGTAGCGTTTTGAAGTTTGTGAAAATTTGAATTTTCATGTACTATTTTACGGTATTAAACATTGAAATACGTATTGAGAAAAGGACAGAAGAAAACGCTATCTTTTCATGATTACTGTGTATACATATGATGATAGTGTGTATACATTACAAACTTGGCATAAATACCATGATAAGAAATTAGATAAGGCAATTATTACTTATCACTCTCATTCAAAAGTATATTGAAAAGATAGCGTTTTCTTCTGTCCTTTTCTCAATACGTATTTCAATGTTTAATACCGTAAAATAGTACATGAAAATTCAAATTTTTACAAACTTCAAAACGCTACAGAATATTTACTACTGAATATTTTTAAGATATTTTTTTACTAAAATTTTTCTTAAATTCTACTCTACAAAATAGCTATCTTAGATTTTTTTTTTACATTTTATTTAAAATTTAAAAATAATTAATATTTTTAATAAAATGTAAAAAAATTAATTATTGAGATATAGCTATAGACCTAACGTCTAACTATTATTTAAAAAAAAATCAACTAAAAATATTAACTGGATCAAAAGTTATTTAAGTTGTCAGTGAGTGGTGGGCCACCCTGTATGTTTTAAAGTTTCTAAGTCTCTGGGAACCTCCCAGAGACTTAATCCCAATTACTTGGGGTCGGCCAACCTCCAGTGTCTGTAAATTATTTATTTTTATGGAAAAAATAAATTGTTAATAATATCTTTTTAGTTGTTAGTTTATAGAAGTATTATATGATCGTTTAAGTCAGTTGGTAATGTTATATACCGTCTTAAATAATACTTTGTATATAAATATTATACAGCTTTTAAATTCTATTACCTAACTCTAGTGGCATATGTATATGCAGACAATATAGGCAACTCTCTACAGCGATATATTTTAAGGGGCCGTTAATATTGAAAGCCAACAAATTTATAAAAAGCGAGTTATTTTTTTATTGTTAAGACATATTGACGTCCTAATTATTATCATAGTCGTTTTCATTTATTGTGTATTTATATGTATATTAATAGCTACAAGCAATTTATTTTATGATTTATTAATAAACATAGATTTGCATTTATTTTTAAATATTATTTTTTTTTTTTGTGTCTGTTACCACTTTTTCTCAGCTCTCACCGAACGGATTTCTTTCAACGATACGTCAAAAGATCACAAATCGTATCTAGTCGAAGACATTACCCTTCAAAATTGAAAAAATTTCCCTCGTTCCCCGTAAATGGGGGAAACCTCCAAAAAAATTACAAATTTAAAAATCGCTAATTTTCGAAATTTTTTCAATTTTTTTTACTAAAAACTGCCGTAACTTTTTCAAAAATGAACATATCAATATAATTTTTTTTTATATAGATGCTTGATGTCTTTACCTATCATTTGATATATTTTTTTTGTAAATTTGACCCTTTATCTGCCCACAGGGGGGGATTTAAAAAGACAACTTTTTCAACTTAACTTTTGAAAATGTTCCGAAAGGTCTGACACTTTTATATAAATCTTAAATTAAATCTAATGTAATATACTTTAATTTGAAAAAAAAAAATTTGACCTCTGGACTTGTCTTCATGGTGAAAACGGCTACCGAATGCTATTTTTGTGTGAAAATTTTCGATTTTATAATTTACATTTTTTACTTTAAAGTGCTATAACTTTTTAAAAAATGTATGGATCAATACAATTTTTTCATGAGAAGTAGTATTTTTTAATAATCCCTTTTTCATTCGACATACTTTATCTTAATCAAGATATTAATAAGGAACTAGCAGATCATGTAGCTTTTGGAATAATACACCAATTTTTTTAAAATTAAACACAATCTAAAGATTTGCATCGAAGCGTTTATTTTTGATAGTGATTTTAATAACTGTCAGATATCATTATACTTGATCCAACTATACCACGGCATCACTGTGCCGCGACCCCCCTGTGCTGGGTTTTTTTTTTTTTTTGAATTGCAGCTCTTTTTCTTTTATTATACTTCGCGTATTGCTTTATACTAATGGAACACTAATAAAAATATTAAAGGTGTTTACTCTATGGAGGATTCTAATTTATCCTTTTTTTTCACAAGGTTTTCTCTGTAGTACTACTCTGTATTTATATTTTGTTTGAACTTATAAGCTAAAAAAAAGGCAGTAAATCTAATATAAAATTTGATGGCGTATTTATTTTTAGTACACTTTGTATAAAATTTGATTAAGTTATTTACTTGTAGTACGTTTATATAAAAAATTTTATTTATCATCCTTAAAAGTATATCCTGCATAATTTACAAATGGTACATAAAAATATACAACCTTATATTTCTTAAATAAAAAACTTGAGGAGGTGATCCTTTGTTTGAAAATGTTAAAATTTTATTAAATGATAGATTTAAAAATTTTAATTGAATTTAAATAATGTCAATAAACTTAAATAGTATATTTATAGATTTCTTCTTTACATTACACACATATGTTTGTAATTTGTTGTTATTTTTCCAATCAAATAATAAAAATTAATTTTAACAAATAAACAAACAAAAATTATGTTAAATTTTAATTATTTCTAATCTAAACAATAATAAACAGTAAATAGGTACAATAATTATGTTAAACGTTGAAGTATTAATATTTAATTTCTCTTAGAACTATTAATTAAATATTTACAACAATGTGTGAGTAAATGTTTTTCGCCACTATTGACACTTCCATTTGTGTACTTATGAGGATTTTCATCTGTAGATGATGATATTTCTCGTGTATAAATATCTAAACCGTATTGACCCTCTTCAGGAAAACCGATTAAAAATGTTATGAAATCATCGACGATTGTGTGAGATATGTATTTAGATAGACGTTTTTCTTCTATTCCATTTTTATGCAGTGTAGCCATGAAATCTGTTAGAGGCTTAGACATGCGGAATTGTATCTCCAACTCTCGGCCAGCGAATACTAATGGGTCCTTAAAATAAAAATATTTATTATTAGCTTTTAGTAAAAGAAGTTGTAACTATTTACTTGATGTGATATCGGTATAAGACCAAAAAGCCTAGTCGCTTTGGTAGGACCCCATTCACCACTAGCGCAGTCAGGGAGAGGTACCATAACAGTCTGAAGTTCTTCACATATGATTTTGAATTTACATACGCTCTTAAATTTCATTGGCTCGCCGGTTAAGTATTCTTTTGGTGTCACCGAATTAGCAAATATATCCAGAAGAAAAGCACCACTATTAGGCGAATGAACACGAAATGCTACTATGTTTCCAAGAACAGACTAAAAAAATAATTCTTTAATAAGTCACTGTATTCTAAAACTATCAGAGTTCCCGTACGGTCACTCATCTGAGAACCAACAGCAAATAATGTAGCTGAACATCAGTGCTAGGGAAGCGATTCAATGGTTCACTATGCCACACCACGTCAAAAAATATTAAATATTTTCTTTAATTTACTTTATTGCATTTGCTGATATCGTAATTGTAGAAAGTTTAAAAGAAGAGCGTGTTTTTACAATATGATATTTATTTACCTGCATGACAAATCTTTTTAAACTGACGCCATCATAAGTGTCTCCTTCACTTTCATAGAACTTTAAATTATAATGGAAAATCAAATTAGACTGCATGTTAGTCGGTATTGCTATTCGTACAGTTGCTGCACCTAAATAAAAAAAACAAAACTTTATTAGTTTGATTATTTATATTTTTAGTAAAAATAACTATTGTGTCAATATAAAAATGTCTTATTAATTATGAAGTTTGTTATTATCTAATTTAAAATTTGCACTTAAAATTATTCTGTGTATTCATATTCTTTGTTTTGGTCGATAGAAACTAGTATATAGGAATTTTAGGAGTAACCATACATACAAATTCAAAGTAATTACATAATAACTACTCTACTTGAACTAAACATCTATTTTTGACATTTTATCGGAAATGTTTAATAGTTCAAAAAACTACTTTCAAATTTTTTAAATTGATTACTCATACATCGACATAATAAAAATGACTAAACGTTGTTTTTCAATAAAAATACAATTTGATATTTTCATGTGAAACTGTATTCAATGAAAATAAATTTAAAAAAATTAGCTCTAATTAATTATACAGGTATTATGTCATTAAAAATGTTCATTATAATCAATACAACGAACAATTGAGACTAATCATAAAGTATTTTTTAATATTTTCTCAGGAATAATAAATTACTAATAATTTTCTAAATTATAAAAAACAATTCATATTAAACAGACTAAAATAATATTAGTTCATAAATAATTTTTGCTATTTTAAAAATTCATTAGTCGTAGAAATTGAAAAACAATTAAAACACACCAATGGAATTTCAAATGAAATTGTTTTATACGATAACTAATGTATTATATATTTAAGTCGGTTAGTAATTCTTTTTATCATTTCAGAAGAAATTGGTAATTTATGAAGAAAGTCTTTTACCCGTGACTGCTCGTTATTTAGTGTACCGTGTTAATACAACTGTATTGTTTTATCCATAATAAATTGCAATGAATTAATTAATAAATCATAGCCGAGTGCAGAACTTATAGCAAAAAACATTTTTTTTAGCTTTCTAAAATTTGTGTTAAAAAAAATATTTTCTTAGTGGTATTTACAATAATTCTTATAGACATAATATAACTATATTAAAAATAAATTTTACCTGTAGCATCAGTATACATGACTGCTTTGGTATTAGAGTCCGGAAAGTAAAGACCATATCGAAAAAACAATGATCGAACAAACGGCAAATCTTCGAAGTCCCGCTGACTAATTGGATTCTTTAATAGTTGCCATTCGGGTTGTAGAGGGAAGAATTCATAAATGAATTCTCTCGGATCAGTTAAGAAATAATGATCATCGTATTCATATCTATTAACGTAAAAAAAATGCGTTACTTACAAAGATTACTACAAAATAAAATTATCAAATAGTTAAAAACACTGACCTCAGGCTGTCAGATTTTCCTTTGGCTCCTACTTTGGGTACTTCTTTAGCATTGACTAGATGTCGGGCTCCCCAGTTACATTGTACAAATCTCCATGCGCCTGCAACGTATACAGCATTCCACGAATTTCGGAAGCGGCTATCTTCAAAGTGAACGCCCGGCTGGTATCCTGCAGATTTGGAATATCCTTTGATAACAACGCAATGTAAACCGGCATAACTAAAAAATTTGTAGTTGAAAAGTTATTAAATGACTTAAACAAAAAATATTTAATTATTTATCTCGTATTGTAACTTAGTCATAAACAATAACATTCAATATTTAAAAAATTAGAGGAGTGAATAATTACTATTTTGTACTACCTGCACAATCGTTTAAACAATACATGGTAACTTTCAGTTCCGTGTTTAATGCCTCTTAGGAGACCCATTGGAGTATCACCTCTTAAATTATCATCAAAATTCATAGTGTTTAAATTTTTCACGGTTATCCATCGGAATATTGTTCTAAAGCAACAAAAAACATATAAACATGATTTCACTGCCAATTAAAACTTTCACATATAGTACATTTAGATTATATGTAAAGTTTATAAATTTTATGAAAGAAATTTTTTATTGAATATTTTAGGGTTTGTTCTGCAATAAAAATTCAATGAATCGATACAATTTTTTTAGATTTACATGTACATTACTTTGACAAAAACTAATTAAACTTTATATTTCTGCTAATATTCAAGGCAGAGTTCATTCATTGAGCTCAAAATCAAATTCTTCCGCATTAACAATGCACTTTTTTCTAAAAGAATGCACCCATGATGACATTTCTGAAATTTTTTTTATAAAATTGATATTGAGCTTAACAAGCATTGTCGTATGTTGGGGCTTATAGGAACTTAGACCCTTCAAATTTCCAAAAAAACTATACATGTTAAATAATATATATAAATTACGTTATCTTATCATATTGCAATTAAAAAAAGTAAAGTTCCTTTATAAGGCATAAACGTATAATAATTGATAAAACCAAAAAAAAATTCTTAATATTTATTTTTGTAAGTAATAGAGCAAGTTTTAATAAATGAATTACCTACTCACATGCTGTTTAAAGTAAGAAAATTATATATACACATTTAATTTTTATCAAAATTGAAAACAATCTATTCTTATAACTAATCAACGAATGCGATTTAGCATTTAATTTAAATTCATACTCATAATTAATACTGTAAAAATTGAATTTACTACATGAATTCATTTTTATAAAAATAAATTAATTTATCCAAATCCTGTTTTATAATTATGGTACTAACCACGACCATGATTTTAAGTGAGGTAAAATTATAGTTACTATGCTAAAATATAATATTATTTCTTAAAAATTAATTTAAAATCAATATTGATCATTGACATAATTTCATATTAATAAATTCTAAAAATAGTAGAGAACTTGTTAACAGTAGTAATAGTATGTGTACACTAAAAAAATAATTGCTTCGGCTATTCAATTAATTAAGTTTTATTTATTATTAAATTCCCAGAAACACAAAAATAAATGTGTTACTTAAAAACAATAGTTTTTGACTAACGCTTGTCAATTTATTTACTTTTCTAGTATGTATGAAAAGTATAATTTTTTTTTAATTTTAAAACAATATAAGTTGAAAGTATTTTTTTAAATGCATTTTATAATTTACCTTGCTTTTTCAATATCTGAACCACATTTTCCAACCAACATTCGAACTAAATCCGTAAACGTTTTTTGATCTTCTTGTGCTACCTAAAAATGAGCATAATCAAAAGTAAAAATAATTTGTAATACTGTGACAATCTATAATAGTTGCATAAAACATTTTTTTTTCATACATATTAAATATAAAATTATAAAAGCGCATATTTAGTAAATTGAATCTCTCACTGAAGTATCTAATCAAAAAGTAATTTACGTCTGTTTATTTTTATCATCAAAATTAATATTATATATGAGTTTTTAATTAAGAATTAAAATTATGTCGCGATTTTTCTAGCACCCATTAATCATAAAATGGTATTTTGAGTTCTTACATAGTTGTAGAAATAAATATTTTGTAATATTACCGATATTGCTATCTGATCAATATGGGCGAACTCCAACGGGTCTGAATATAATTGGAATTTGGCTTGGGCCACACCATGAGGAGATGGCGGTAACGGTGCTTTGCCAGGGTAAGGTTGGACGTTATCGTTGAGTGTTTGGGTTGTTTCGTCTGGTAAAGATGAATCATCCAAGTACAACGACTCAGCCATCATATACTCACTACGTTTTTCATTAATAAGGTCTAACATTTCGCTACTCTGTTTTTCCACTAAGGCCGCAGTAGCCGCTCTGTAAATAAAAAGAAACCATACATATTAAAAATATAGTATAATAATTTACATTAATAAATAATAAAAAGTTTTTGTCTCTTTATAAAACCATTTATCTTAAATTTTACATTTCATAATTTATCTATTTACAGATATAGATTTATTAATAATGTAAATCTTAAATGTGGTCTAAACCCTAAAATATTAATTTCTATAAAAAATTATCAATTTTTACTTTTATTAAGATAGTCGTTACCAATATTTCCATACGGATATAAATCTTATTATAAGAGTAATAAAAATTATAATCATAACATTTAATTATATTTTTCTGATTTCCAAAGTTCAAATAATAAATTGTGAATAGATTTTTCTCAATTAAAATCAGCCAGTTTATTTTTATCAAATTCTAGAATTATATGTACAATAAATATGTAAATTATTATGTTTACATTTGTATGCTGTAACAGTAAAAAACAAGTTCTTATATAGTACAACTAAATGCATTTTAATCTTGCTCTCTGTTCCAACTATTATAGATTCCAAACAACACAAGTAGTTTCATAAAATAGTAGTCCGATGATCAAATACAAATATGATGCAATGTATAAAACAAAGACTAACTTTATACGACAGTGAATATAAACTATTGTGCCTTTTTTAATTTTAACAGAAAGAATTTTTTTTTTTAACTCTTAATAAGAGTTATTATTTTTCGAGAACTTATTGCTATAAAAACGTTGAAACAATTTTTTTAAATGAATTTTAGAGATGTAATTAGAAAGACGATTCTAATGAGAACGAAATGTTGAACGATGAAAAGTTAGAGGATAATTTTCTTTTACAGGATAGATTAATAGATGTAAACTTCGTCGCAGTTAATAAAAACAATTACTTTTAGCCAGGAATTTTGCAGGCGCTTATTTAATTTCGAGTTTGCGGTCAGCGCTCTCCCTATGAAAAGTGGGCGTAATTGAATGTAGAAACAACAGTAAACACGACAGGGTAATGATCATTATCAATAGATGTATTTTATTTTTTAATCTTCGTGACGTTTATTTTCGGTGACAAGCATTTTATCCAGAACGATTAAATAGCAATTTACTATGAGGCCACTATGGTGCGAAAACAATAACGGATAAAAAAAAAGATCAGGCCCATAGAAAGTACACATTATAATGTGTACGAGGAATGCTGCATACCGGCGGTTGACTTTAGCCTATTTGCCAAGAGGCGTGACACACACGCACATAATGTACATACTGAAAGTCGGTTGGCATACTTGCGGTGGTATATCAATAATTGGTCATCATATGTTTCATTAATGTTTCACCATGGCCTAAACGGTGCACATATTGACTACTTTTGTAGACAATATGTGAAGTGATTTTATTGACCTATTCGATGACAACTACCTCTCGTTCTGCAGATTACCAATAAAAGATACAAAATTGATTGCGAAATGGTCATCACGTTGAAAAAAGCCTATAGAACGGCTAGTTTACACGCAACACTATTTAATAACTATTAAGCAATAATAATAAAAACGAGTTTATATTATTTAAGTTAATGAGAAAAATACACATTTTTTAACAAATAATAATATGTATTGATATTTTTCAGTTTTCACGATCGTACTTAACATTTCTAAAATTATGTGGATTCACTTGATTCATAATTATGATTTTTGGCTTTAATGTTCAATGACTCCTAGAAAACAAGATTTCGTATAGTTTTTTCTTTTTTCATCTTAATTTATATTATATAAGCTTTAATTTAATATAAGTTTGAAGACAGTAAGTTTTTGGGAATTTTATAAAAATTTTAAATAAAGTATTGTGGAATGATGATTTTTTATATGTATTTTTACAAACCCCTAATTCGGCCCAAGTGCGCACAGAAATAAAATGAGAAAAATGAATTGTTCATTTCTTCAATTATCATAATTTGTTCTTCAAATTTTGTCAAATGTAAGTTATAATTTACATCGATATACAAATATTTGAATGTGGTTTTTAGTCGGACAAAATATAATATAAAAGGGGGGAAATTGAGATTGACGAATAGCGATAGTCAAGGTCCGATGCATAAAAGTAAAAAGCACTCAACAATGCATTTACCTACTATTTTATAATTATATTGTACGCGTTGTGGGGAGAAACAGCCATCGCGTCTATGGTGTTTACCGTTTGGGTCTATCAAACGTTTCGTCATCGAGACGGAACGTTAACATGGTTAACAAAATATGTTGCCTATAGTTTCCAATTTAATACAGTGGCTTATTGCTAGTGACTAATATTAATGAAGTTAACGCGAAATGGCATTAAATAATCAATAAATAGTTTTTTTACTTAGTGTTTACAGGTACTAAAACTTTTGTTGAGTAAAAACTAATAACACTTTTATATATCAAAAATGAAATATAGGACGAGATCCTTCCAAATAAAATTGATTGTTTTTATTGATACTGCAAAAACCATAACAAGTAATAGATTTTTAATATAGAACAAATAATATGAGCTCCTATTTGAAACAGAAATAATACCACCGTTTACTATCCATTTCAATTCAAAAAACAAAATGTTAAAATTTTGATCTATTTTAAATAATTTATCATTTTAATATATTATTTTAACATGAAATAATTTTATTTGTTTAATCATTATTTTCTTTTTATTATTCATCACTACCTGTTTTTCGTAATCAATCATTAAATGAAATTACGAGTGAAAATCAGATTACAACATTGACAACATTAAAGAAAGTGGTTATTGAATCAATCCAATTATTTAAATTTATTATTACCGACATAGTAAGAACAAAAATGTTGTATTATCAGTTAGAATAATATTTGAATAGTAATGAGTCAAATTATCTTAAATTTAAAATAAAGTACTTAATAATGAGGAAGTCAAGACACCACGATGACAGAAAAAAGTTATTTTTGAACAGTGTAGATCACTCAGCTTTGCAATATAATTTCTACTGCCTTCGCCGTTGTCAAGAAAGAGCTGCATTCCATTGGAGTGAACAAACTCGTCGCGTTCAAGATTTGGTTTCATTACATCCATAGGGGGCACATCATTTTGTGTACCTACGTCGGCACTTATATTCTCTTTGGTGTTTGATTGTAAATGCTATTATTACTGTAAGCCTCTACTGCCGTCGCTCACCGTTTCCGTTATCGAGCTAATATATACTGACAGTATGTTCAACATCAACACTTTTTCTTATCTTTACAATTTATTAAATCACATGTCTAAGTACGTCTTAATCGTTTAACATAATGTTTAACTTTTGAAAATCATCCTAGTGTTACCAATTATTCTACTTATCAATTAAATATAAATATCATACGACTTATTTTTAGATCTAAAAACAGAATATTGTTTTCTAGTTTATAAAATACCACTACAAAAAAAGTTCACAAGTTTACAAGTTCCCTTGTAATAGTTTTTATTTCTATATAAACAAAACAAATTTCCAAATTTATATTTTTTCTGTAACGTTAATTTGATAAATTATACATCTAGTTTGTTTTTAGTCTCAAATCTTAGGTATATTTTGATACCTAAATTTACAGATATGGAAAACATGGATTTATAGAGAATTTTTATTTATTTTTTGATAATACGTTAAGTTTAATAACAACATAATAATACCACATTGAAAATTCTAACAAGGCTATTTAAAACTTCAAAAATATAAATATGTTTTTAGTATTACCTCTCATGTTCTAATAATTTTTTCGTTAATGACTCTTTCTTTCGGTCTCTTCTTATTGTCATGTTCTTTTCAAGATTGTCTCGTTCTTGTTGTAACTTCAATGTGAGAACTTTTTGTTCGTCCGGTCGTTTCCTTTTCATTTGCAATTCTTTCTCAAATCGTATTGTTAATCTTTCTAATTCTTTTTCCCATTCACTCTGAAAAAGAATATTTTTTTAGAATGACTAACTTTTTACTCTCATATTATCAAATAATATAAGTTTTAAGGTATTAAAAATGAACTTACATTTATTTCTTCTTTAATACGATTATCTTCAGCTTCACGCTGTTTTGCAAACTTTCTGTACAAATCATCTTCTTCTTTCCGATGTTTCATTTCTAGCCGGGTTTGCTCATCTTTATCCTAAATTACCACAAATATCGTTTTAATCTACTATTATTAATACTGTAGCAAAAGGCCTAGGCTAATGAGGTCATTGATCAAATTAATTAACATTAACAATGGTTACATTAAATTTTATCTTTAATCTATATTGACTTGATGTTACATATTAAAGACGACAAAATAACTTAAATTAAGAAAAAAACACACATATTGGCATTTCTATGTTAATGTTAGAAAAAGTAATTTTATTAAATTCTGATCGTAAAAATGATAAATTGCATAGTTTTTCCTTAAATAAAGAATTTAAAAAACGTCCAAATTTTAAATATTTTACAAATTTACACTAATAATTTAAGTTAACTAATAAGTAATATTTTTTATACTTATAAAAAATGTATTAGTATTTTCTTTATCCAGTATTTAAGGGAAAATAAGTGAAAAAACAAATAATTATTCAATTTACAGTAATCCATATTTTGTGTGAAAAATAAATTTGCTGTCAATTTATGAAACGACTTTAATTTTTGAAAAACAATTTGACACTCAGCTTTCAATAAAAATATAATCCTAATAATTTACACTTAAAGTTAAAAAGATAATATTTATAAATTTAATGTAATAGTTTTTTATAAATAAATTATTTTTAAATGTTAAAGTTTCCCATACAGTGGAGTTTAAAATTATAAGACATACCCAAATTTTATATTTAAAGCGTTTAGATTTTGGGTTTTTACGCAATCGTAAACGTTTAAATCTTCAAGTAAATGTATGAAACTTTTTTCTTCATATATTGTAAACTTAAAAACTTAAGTTCATAAACTTAAAAGAAAACCTATGATTTTGTATTATTTCCATTTGCTACTTAATTTTTAATTAATTTTTCGTTAAAAATATAATTTTTACAAATTTCAGTCATTAAATATTTTTAAAGGCTTGCTAAAAATTTCTTCTAACATTCAACTGCGTAATTATTTTTTCTACGTGTTATTTGGATAATTAAGTTTGATAGAAAAAATTTACAAGTCGTTCCAGTTCAAAATATTCAAACCATAGGCAAATAATGAGAATTTTTAATTAACGTAAAATTAGCTATACTTGGTTTTTTTTGGTAATTTACAGTCAAATAAGTTCATTTGTTCAATATACTAGGTAAAAATCACATTAAAACGAATATCTTATGTTATTTCAACCAATTTATTTAGAAACGTAGTATAGATATTTAGAAACTTCTAAAATCAAAACTCCTGAAATATAAAATTTGGGGGTGTCTTATAATTTTTACCACTACTTTAAAAGACAATTAAAAGTCATTTTACCATCCTTTAAAAATTATATAATTGGCTACTTAAGATTTTATTAAGCCTTGTAAGTTGTTGGCGAAAATGAATGTTAGCCAATCAAACATTATTAACAAAAACGTAAAGGAGTCAAAAACATTATAATACTTGGACTGTAAGCAAATATTTGTTTTAAGTTAGATTTCGATTTTCGCTTTACTTAAATGTCGAGTAAGTAGTGCGCGGTGCATCTCATTGTTTAATTAGATTATAATTTAACAGCATTTCATTATTGTAGGTTTTGCATTTTATTTAAATTTTATTGCGCGTAAATAATACACAAAAAGTGTGACCGGATGACCTTATTTACGCTGTCCTGGCATTGACATAGCCGTAAATTTCATCTAAATTTTTCACGCTAGTAAATCACCTGTCGTCAATATTCATTCAGCAATATTGTTTAGCACATACAATCAATGGGTAACTAAGTACGAGTAGTCAAGTGAAGTATACTATTCGACGAATGCTGTTTAACTCAATGAACCGACAATATAATGTTAATTACAAATGATATTTAGCGATATTTAATATAATCAACACAACCTTGAAGATCACAAGTGTTTTCAATGATTCTCCGATAAAATTCTACCAGAGAAAGGAGAAATTATAAACCGCCTCCGGTAACAAAAAGTCAAAAAATACTTTTTCATAGACTGTTAGAAAGGGTGAAATACACGTCGTAAGATAAAAAGTTCAATCTATCCATCTAATCTAATATCTAAGTTTATCTATCCATAGGTACAAATTGAAAATGATAAACACGCTTTGTCATTAGGTAGTACACGTAAAATAAAACTTATTACTTATAGACCCTAATAGATGTTTACATTGAATCGATACATATATGTTGATCTTAGTGTTTTTACAGTCTGATATAGCAACTATTTAACGCATTAGGTATATAATTTAGGGTAAGGCAAGTAACACTATAAATATTTACTTAACAAATTTGTTTTAGGGTAATAAATGTTAATTTTTTTTATAAATTAATTAAATAAAAAACAGCCTACGCATTGCTGATCTATAAAATATGAAGAATCCTGCGTACAATACACTCAACTGCTTGTAGTTTAAAAATGTGTGTGTTAAAAGTAAAATTGTGTACTTAAGACACGCACAAATTAACTATGAAATATTCAAAAACATCACCATAATATATAAATATACAGAAGGTAAATTTTAAAAGTCTACAAAAATATCAATTACTACAAATCGGTATGTTTAATTAATAATCAAAAATTTGTAATCACATATTTAGAAAGACTTTTATAGATCTTAAATGATAGCGTAGCGCGATTAAACAATGAATGAACAAATTTAAAACCATGTTCAGTCCTTGAAAATTGTGGAAAAGCAATTCATAGAGGACATAATACATTACATTTTGTGACAATTGTAACTTGTCATGTTTGCCATTTTTATTTTAGAAAATAGTTTAATGATTGTTTATGCTTTATATCCAGTAATATTTATGACTCAAATAGATAATATTTTTTAAATGAAAACTAGTAAAAATTAATATTTTTTTTGTGATCATTCTTAAAATTACAATTTAAATATTAGTTCAGTTTTTATTGAATTTTCTTAATAGATGGATAAATAAAAATTCAAATTTTTTTTAATTAAATAAAGTATTTCTATAATAAGATCAACGCGTTAGAACGTCTGAAAAAAGTTTTAATAATTTAACATTATTTTAATTTACCTGATACATAAACTCATAAATTATAGTATATAGTATAATGCTAAGACCACAACTTAACACTACATAAGTTACTAACATCAAATTAATTTAAATGATACATTTTTTTCTTAATTAATCTTAATGATTAATTAAAAAAAAAAATTAAATCTCAATTCAACTATGCGCCAAACAATAAACACATTAGTTTACACTAATGCGAAAGCAATTGAAAAAATTAGAAAGACGTTTGACGTGTTTTATGTAGACAAATTTTATTAATAATATTAATTATTAAAATCTAAAAGTTCAATTTTCTTTTAATAAGTTCATTTAATTGCTTATAATTAATAATTTGTTGACACTTTTACTTTATTAACAAAAAAATATTATATTTTACCATGGTCTTGTTTAAAAATTTACTATAGTGACTCTTTTGTTTCGGAAATCACGATTTTATAATTTATGTGAATATTTTTACGTACAACGTATTTTTTATTATTGTTTTGAAAAACTGATTTAGCTGGTATATGTTTCGTCGATTATACCACGCAGGAAGTAATTCAAGGTCTCAGTTAATCTCATTTGTACAACTATTAATAGTTTGGTCTGGTAAAACAGAAAAGTTTAAACTGCAAGGAGACTAATAGATTTTAATTAATTTAAGAATTTAATTTAAAATTAAAAATGAAAACGTAGTTTTTTTTGTGTTATCACTTTACTCGAAGACCGACGAGAAATGTTGTGTTTATAATAACCTTGGAAAACACCCATTTTCGATATAATACTTTAACGTTGATCTAAACCGTATAAGGTTCCCAAGATAATAGTAATGTAAATGGAAATGGAATGTGTCACTCAACCAACTAGCGAATTCGCAACGCTTGGGCGACACCATCAGCTACATGATCTATTTAACTAGAAAAACGGATTGTTTCAATGTGTTTTCATAATAAAACTGAGACTAAAGTAAAGAATAAGAAATGTTCGACTAGTATAACTCGGATATCTGATAATCAAACAGTATTTGTTTTTTAGCTCATGTATTTTTTATATTTCGTTCTTTAAATTTGGTATTTTTGCTAAGACATTTACCGTATCGAATATACACTTGTATGAACCAAATAAACCGTGAACATAATAGTAAATTGCAGTAAGTTCGATTTAGACCCGAGCACATCACTTCATTCAGCGAATGAGCAGACCGCAAAAATAAAATAATAATAAAAAGAACACTGTCATTGCAGTAGTTCATTTCTCGCGGATTCGACATTTAGTCGATTCGAAATACGCCACTGTCACTTCTGTCAACGATTATTCAATAACCATTCCACTTTGGCTCGGCTGCACCTAACTGTTCACAAGAATGATGATGGCGTTTTGCTCTGATTTTACGGTTAACGAAATTGCCACGACCGATTTCCGGTAAAATACACACTATCGATTTGTTTAATTAGCGTTGTGTAACTCGTCGGCACACACATATTACTACGAAGTCGGTCCATATTACTTTTCACCGTTTACAGGACACGCGGTCCAAGTCTGAGTCATTCTCCGACGATTACCGTGGAAACATTTTATTCCTTTTGCTACAGAGTATTTTACTTTCTACTTTCCGAATAATTTATGTTAAACCACTAAGTCATTTCTCTTATTTTTAAATTAAATCACTCTACATCAATAAAGTTAATAATCTCAACCGATACCATTCAAATTTGTCAATTAGTAATCCCGAAAAATCGCCGAGCCTCTTAAGAATACGTTACTATTTACCATTGGCCAAACACGATACATCGTGGGGCTTACTTGGCCATGAACAATGGTATTTAAATGACGGAGCCTTTTTTAAGACGCTGATAAGTATTTTAAGAGTTATTTCAAAACAACACATCATTCTCTAATCGTCTTATATTTAATTATAGTTATGTAGCTGTTGCATAAGAAAAACCTTTCCCTAATAGTAATTATTGTATTGAATATGCCAAGACTATCCCATATATGCATATGACTACTTCATTGCATTGTTTTTTAAGTTATGTAAAATACATTAACTAATACCGGTGAATATTTTAGCAAGTTTTTCTTTTAGTTTTCAGATTACACTTTTAGTATTTTATTTCTACCTCATATTATACATTCGTATTTAAAACTCTGTGAACGCTTTTAAGTATAGTTGAATAATGTCAGTTAATCTCACGCCAAATATACGTAACTATATTGTTTCTTTACACTTCAATAAAATACCATTAAATTGCGATAAATGCACTTACTAAATAACAGTGAATAGGTTTCTCCCTGATACCATTTTTGTTGGTGTATGACTTGTGAAGCTCAGTAGCCCTAAGTGCATGAGCTATGTGTAATGCGGAAGCATCGAACCTTCCGTATTGATATCCGGTATCTGGACTAGGAGTGTTGATGTATGGGGATAATGGCGACTGTGAACGGTGAGGGGTACATCCGTTGAGATGTTGCTTTATATTAAGCGCTTCCGCATCAAAAGTTCCTTTGCCACTACCCCGAATTTGGTCATTTACAAACGTCGTGGATTTAGGCACATTCAATGCACTTCTTATACCTACCGATGTACCGTCCAAGTGGCCAGGCCCAGTTTTTGGTACATGACTCGAACAATATACTTCCTTATCTTCTTGTCGATGCTGGTTGTTATAGTATGTTTTAAGTGTTAGTTTTGTACCACACACTATACACTTGAAACAACCGCTGTGGAAAAACGTAAAATCCTTGAGGGGCCCGACACGATCTACTTGGTATACCGTCTGGTAACAACGCAAGCACGTGCTCTCATAGAAGTTCGACCTGTACATCGTGCGTGGGCTGAGTAAGTCAGTATTAATTTACATCATACACTCTGAAATCTGCAAAATATAATAAATTCTATTAGTTTATTATTTATTGTACTAAAAATAGTTATAATACATCCAAATTTAAATGCTGTAGGGTGTTTATTTTGCTACCCGATAGTCTACCTATAATATTTATGGGAATAACTTGGAAATAGGAAATTATGAAATAAAATTAACATGAATTAAAAGTATGAGGAACAGTGCAATTAAAATTACAAAACTAGATCTGTTATCCCTTTCGGTAATACCTTACTTGAAAAATTAATTAAAAAACGAGAAACTATTGAAAGTACACAATTCCTCTTAGTTTTATCAATGGTCATGGGTATGTATGTAGAACGAATACATTATTATCATTATATGTATAAACGCGATTAAGGTCAGGAAATACTTATAGACTAAGAAAATTCCCATCATTTATTGTGCACTATACTTAGTGCATAATATTTCTATACCCAAGACGTTTTGTATTTGTAAAAGTATGTCTTTGATATAAGTGTTTATGTAGTCTACGAAACTCTCTCATGGGCGAATAAAATAGATTTCGACAAACGGGGGTACATTTTTATACTATTAGTTAGTGAAAACTGAAAACTCTCAAATGAATATGTATAATATGAGTATAATTAAAAAAATATATTGAACTGATATTTTAGAATGAAATGTAGTTATTTATTTACTTTTTTATCTACCCGTCCCTGATAAGTTTGAGACACAGAAGATAACAAATCAAAATGAATTTCGGATCTCAGAATTAACCAATGGATAATTAAAATACAAAACTTTTGAAATGTAAAGCCCTTAGTTAATGTTTTACCTAAGGGCTTTTATTAATACGTTAAACAAATTAAAAAAATGAGAGACTTTAATGAATGGTTAAAAGGACCAAACATCTCAGGAACAATGTTTAAATAAGTGCATCTTTAAATAATTGATAAATAACTTATATTAGAAGTGTTTCAAATGTTTTATCCTTGAAAAATAATTAAATATGTTAAATAAACAAACTTATAGTTATAATTAGTGTTTCTTTAAAATTGTATTGTTTATTAAAATTAACACAACTTAATATCTTATAAACCCTTTTAAAAGAAAAGCTTTAGAGACAATCAATATTTTTTCTGAATATGGTAAAATGGCAAAATTTAATGTTCATTACTTACTGTCTTTCTTATTGCAAATTATATTGCATTAGATATAACATACACAAATTCCTTGTAGTGATCACAATTTGTAGCACTGCACTAAATTCAAAAGTACACCACACTAACAAAACATATTATTCACGGAAAATAATAAATAATTCAATTATATTAAAAATTTAGAAATAGAATTTGATATTTATACACTTTTTAACTATTGAATCATAATAATCTACCGACGCTAAAGACAAACACATTAGCGACGCAGCAAAAACTCGGCATTGGCTGTCCGCGCTCACGACTATTACCGTGCGACCATCGACTCTGCGGTTTCACCTGTGTACGACTGGTCTGCTATATACCTGTACACGTCGATCATTGTGTATCCCCTCCAGACATCAATGCTATCACCATTCTTCTTCAGTAGATTACAAACGTCGAAAAACTCAATTTTTTAGTTGTATTAGGTATAAATGGCATACACTGCTTTTTACTCGGACCCTAAACTAGTTGTGTAGGTAATTTTAAATATTGGGTATCCAATTGGCACAGTAAATAAATATTAAACTTCAGCCAAGGTATTTGGTTGATATGCAAAATTACCTTTTTAAAGGATAGGAAACCCATTTAAGTAAACTATAATTTTATGATTAATACAGTACCTTAACATTTACAAAAAAAAAAAAATATATAACTGGATGGTCTAAATTTTAAGAAAAATATGAACCAAAATTTGAATTTACCGTTATAATATTACTATTTCAAATATTAAGTGAGGGTACAAATTAATTTCACCAGATTCTAAATATCCACAAATTCTATTCTACATACACAATGTGCAAAGATTAATTATACAATAAATGTACAAATAAATATAAAATAATCTTTAAATCTAATGACTTTTAAAATCATCCTTTAATTTTTCAATTAAGGGATGAATAAAAGAAGGACATAAGTCAGAGTTAATATAAAGTAAGTCTGGCTTTAGTGCCTGTGTTTAAGTCAAACTTATTTAACTTACGAACAAAAGACTTTTTTTTTATGTAGGCTCTAAGCTTACACTTTACTTGTTCAGCTTTGATATACCGAATAACACCAATAAAGTGTATCACTTTTCCACCCGGTTATTGCTTAATTATATGTAGAATGTATCTACATAGTATTTTAATTAGAAAAATATATTTGAAAAAAAAAATCGTAACATTATAAATGATTAAGATAGTATAAATTGTTAATTTAATTTGTGTTACTTTCTGAGAATTCGTCAAAAACTATTGTACCATTATTTTAACTGAAAAATTTCAGTATGTAAATATAACAGAATTAATAAAATAATTTTATTGAGTGACACTGTTTGGAAGACTCAATTTATTAGGACAACTCTTGAATATCAAGTAGACGGAGTTACTCATATCTTGTTATTAAATAACAGGTAAAAAATATAATTTGTGAATTACGAATTAAATTGATTAGGATTTTATAAATTATAACTAGAGTTTCAAACCATTATGAAAATTATTTTTGTGAAATATTACATAAAAGATGTAATTTTTAAATTTTTATTTTAATTATCCGCTGTAAAAAACTTGAATATATAGTCTGGGTATCTATTAAAATGCTTGGAATTCAATAAGTATTTATCTTATAGTTATTATCTATACATCAAAATTTTATGTAAGTAAAGGACTAAAAAAGGATTTGGTAATTTGCAAAAACCATTTTATTAAAATATTATCATTTTAATTAAATCGCAGAATGATGAGATTCTATCTATTCTATGATTAAAACATCATTATTATTTGCGCTTTTCATAGAAGAACAGCCATAAGTCGGACAACTGGACTTCGAATCTATGCGGAAATTTCCCTAGATTTAGGAAATTTGGTACTGTGTTAAGAATAGGTATATACAACTATATTACCGTGCAAATAAGTAAAAAAAAAACATATTTTTTAAATTTTCAATAAAATATTTTAAGAGGCGTGAAATTTTCAATTTTAAAAAAATTTTAATTATAACTCACACACACGCAAAAAATTGTATGACATTAAATTAATTTTTATATTTGTTGTAAAGAACAAGAAAACAGAGGTAAAAATATCTGTTATACAAGAAAACAGCCAACAAAAAGAGTAGGCGTTTGCTATGCTTGTGTGTTGGTAGTAGCCTTAATTGGTATTGTATAGTTTAGTTCTCTGACGCCTCGTTCATTTTTTAACAATTTTTTTACCGTTTATTCATTGATGAAATTTGATATACAATGAATATTAGTTACCATTTATAGAAACATTAAACAAATTTTAACAACGTGTTTGTAAACGTGACTATTTCATAGTGTGTAATAAAATCTCTTTAAAGTTCGATTTAAAATATTTTAAATGCATAGAAGACACTTACCAAATTTTAGTGTCTACTATTATACCTTTATTTCCTGTGACTTTTTCCAAAAACAATTTTTCAATTCGTCCTTAAAGTATATCTGCCTTCTATCAATATTAATAAAAAAAGAAAAGAAATTTATCTCCCATAATTACACCCATCCAAATAAATATAGGATCGCTACCTTTATTGGCCCGGAATGATGCACAGTACTACATTTGTTTGCTTACTTCGAGTTCGTTTAGTATATAAATTGTACTACGCCTAATTAGTAAATCAAGGCCTGGGGAAGAATCCCAATCTACATTTCAAGAAATAATCTATAAAAATAAAAGAACATCAATAACTTATGTGATAAAAAGGTGGGTATATAATTCCTATTACAAAAATAGAAGATAAATCTTAATTAAAAATTAGCTTAGTAAGTACAGGTAAAAAAATTTAGGATAATTTTTCGGAGCATTTTTACAAATATAATACACTAAATTAATTTTTTTTTTTAATATAGAGTAAGAAAAATAAGTTATAGTACTGTATCATATATTAAATGTATACAACTAAATATTAAAAGTAGAAAATAATCTTGAAATTTGATTAAATAATTGTAAATAAAAACGGGACGGTATTTACTTCATAATTTGCTTTTTCTTAATTTCCTACCAGTTTTCAAGTGTTGGATACCAGATACCCTAAGGTGAACTGGTATTCTAGGGAAGGAAGAAATGCATATTGCAAATGCAAATGCAGATAAGTTGCCTTATGCATCAAGAACATGGTTCTTTTTTCCATCGTAAAACGCACTTAAGGTTACCCATCCGTACACTACGACGACGGGAGTGGCTTATCACTAAAATTGTCAACATCTACTGTCCACCGTGCCACACTACGCCCCATATTATAAATTATATTAATTGTTTATTATCTCATTTTAGATATTTTTATCTAAAATATTCAGTTATTTATTTATATTCTGTACTTTACTCAAAATAAAATTTCAACAATAAATGCAATTTTAGAATAAGGATGATAAAAAAAAGACAGTTTTACATTTAATTATGTGATTTATTAATTTTTTTCGATCATGTGTTCTTTTTATATGATTGATGGTATTTATTCTTTTTTGAAATATTATGTCATTTTTAATCTTTTTTAACTTCACTAACTGATACTGCAATAAAAATACATAAAATATTTTATAATTAAGCAACCAATTATTTAAGTTGTTAGAATCATTACAATGAGCTTATTATTCATAACCATATTTTGATACATTTACAAATAAAAATTAGAACAAATAGTGCTATTCAAAATAGTTAGGTATAATAAAACTCATACCAAATTAATAAAACTAATAATTCCTTAATTGTAATATCTAATTATATATGTAGTTTAAATTGTACATTAAAATTTTTGGGAAATGCAAATTTACCACATTAACACATAAAACTGGCAATTTAATTTCACAGAGATGTAAAGTACACGATACTTAATTTATATTAGTTATAAGAGGATATACATATATATATATATATATACCATACATATATATATATACCATACTTAGTTAAGTTATAAAAAAAGAAAATAATAATAAATGTAAGAAAATACATTTCCAATAGTCTAAAAGACTATATAATAATTTTTAATTTTTATGTATATATACAAAAGTTAAGCACTTATTTTATAAAGCTAAGTCTTTTTTTATTTATAATCTTAATCTTTTGTAGTTCCAAAGATATATTTGTCACCAATTATACTTTTAGTGTATTAACGTCAGTATGGGTAGTACATTGCTCTTCTAGAATAGCCTCCCCTAAAATAATAAATAATTTATTATATTAAATCATGTGCTAATTTTTGATTATAATATTTTACATAATGATTCTATCTAAAAATATTTAAAGACTAAATTCTATAATTAATAGCGTGCTACCAAGGGTTTACTAATAGTCTACATGGGTACAACTTGATCTGAAATGTTTAATTTATTATAAGTTATAAAGCCACATATTTCATTTATGATTCACACATGTATTCTGGCTATTAGGAAAACAAGCATAACAACAATAGTACTTATTTAAATTATATAAAGTAAATTTATTTATACTTGAAGTCTGTTTTAGATATTTTGAGGCCCAAAGCGAAATTAAGATTATAGTACCTTACATTATATTCTATACAGCCAAAATTCTATACTATATATAAAGAAAGAAACGGTCAGACATACAAATCTAATAACTGAGACTATAAGTAGCTGCATATTGCACCTAATGATAAATATGGCACTGATTATACTAGAAATATTAATAGCTTTTAAGGAAATGATATAAGGTATCATAATCATAAAAAATCCAGGAGAACCAAAATTGTATGATATTATAATAGTATGAGTAATAATCATATTATAATTAACTATTATTTATCATAAAGTATTAATATAGAGATAATACCTAAGTAAAATATGAAATTTTAATAAAAGTTATCTAACATTATTCTTTTAAAAATATAGTTTTAGTACAACAATAAAACTAACATTTTATAATAAATAAATTTCAGAATGTCAATACCTCAAAATCATTTAACAGTACCACTTTGACTATCTTACAAATCAGATTTGTTCCCTAAAATCATGGATTTTATTGGATTACCTTATAATAAATTTTAAGCTAAACAAATTTTTAAATCTTTTCAAAAAAAGAAATTATAGTAAATTGTTAATGTTAAAAAATATAAGACATTTTTACATGAAGGAATTAATTATCAATTAACAAAGCCAGATACATTATAATAATTAAAAAATATTTTTTTTAGATGATATCAATTGTATAACATTTGTACATATTACTTCAGTATAAAACAATAAAAAACTATTAATAATTAAAATATGACCTAATTACTTATATTGTAAAAAATGGATTATACCTTGGTCTACGAATTGGCCGATAACCACCATAGAATCCAGTTGGTGCACTACCACGTGACATGGGTCTTCCCCTATACATTCCTCTACCTCTGGATGCTACAGGGCGATTAGTTGTACTAATACCAGGCTTGTTAGTTCTTTTAGGATTAACCTAATAAAATCGTTATATTGTAGATATTGATTACTAACTAGTTTCAATCAAACAACTAAAATATTGAAATCTTACTTTTATTTGACGGCCTCTAAATAATGAATCATCCATTGCCATAGCAGTATTTACAGAATCCATATCAGCAAATTCTATGTATGCAAATCCTTTAGGGTGACCATCAAACTTATTACATAATATTGTCACTCGATTAATAGAACCACACCCATGAAAATGGGCTTCAAGTTCTTCAGCCGTAGCTGCGTAATCTACCTAAATTAATAAAATATGGAAAAATAGTCAATAGTCAATATCAAATTATGTGTAAAAATGACTTACGTTTCCAACATAGACAGACCTAGCATCAGCTTCAGCTTTTTCTTGTTCGGATAAATTGTAGGTTGAACCTGCAAGTAAAAATGTATTATAACTTATATTAAATAAATTTGATAAAAACATAATTTATTAAGTAAAATAATTAATATATTTAATGAATGCTAAATTTAATATACACTAAAAAACATTTTTGTAATGATTATTAAATAAATATATATCACAATTTGATCTGAATTTTTTTGAAGATCAATCATAAATTATTGAAAAAGATTATATGAATTAACATTTTTTTAACAATTCTAAAATGAAGATACAAAAATAAAAGTTAATCATTTTACAAAAAATAGGATATTATGATTAAAATGAAAATATTCTTGTGAAGTAATTATATAATAATCTACTATTTACTTCAAACTAAAAAGATATTTGTAAATGTCACCATAATACAGATTTAGTAAATGCCCGCTTAGATTTATAAAACTATACATATATGTTTAAATGTATAACTAAAATTATTTTTAATGTTTGTTAGAAATTTTTAAGAAAATAAAATCCAATTACAATACTGTATATTATTTAATAATTGTATTTTATAGTTGCAACATTAATTATTTTTAATGCATAATTTATTATATTTACTTAAAAAATAAAATGCATAGCTTTTTGAGAATTTTTAATTAAAATTGTTCTAAAATTAATATTATAAAAAATACGTAAATTATTAAGAGGAAGATACAAGTAGCTTTCAAAAATAAAAAATAATAATAATAAAATTATGTGGAAAAATATAAATATAATTTCTAAAATAAAAATACATTATTTCTTAGTAAAATATAGGCTTTTTATAGGAAAAATTAACATGTTTATTTCAAGGTTGTTACGGAATTTAAAACATGTTTAACAAAAATATAAAAATTTACATATTAAATTGTTTACTTATGTCTAAGACCAGTTTTTTTTTTAACATATTGTTATTAATCTTGTTTTATTATTAAATAAGATATAACTCATAAACATAGCTACATAATAATACATATTTTAAATTTTCATTTTGAAGTTTTTTTTAAACAATTTTTAAATAGATTTTTTTGTAAAAATGTAAAACAGATTTAGTAAGTGTTAGCTTAGATTAAATTGTGCTACACATGTGGATATCGGTTTGTGTTTATTTACCTCAAAATTATAAAGCAAATTTACTTAAAAAGTAACTGCAGAGCTTTTAGAGGATAACATAATTTATGCTGAAGCTATTATTTTTAAATATTTGTTTCTAATCTAAAATTATTTATGGTAAAATAATAAATTGTACAACAGATTTAGTAAGTGTTAGCTTAGATTAAATTGTGCTACACATGTGGATATCGGTTTGTGTTTATTTACCTCAAAATTATAAAGCAAATTTACTTAAAAAGTAACTGCAGAGCTTTTAGAGGATAACATAATTTATGCTGAAGCTATTATTTTTAAATATTTGTTTCTGTTCTAAAATTATTTATGATAAAATAATAAATTGTACAACAGATTTAGTAAGGTTTTTAATTTGAAGGCTCATATATTATAACATGTATGAACATGTATGTTCACTTTAATGAAAATACACTACAGTATAGGATTTTTACAATAGAAACTAATTTACACATTAATGCATAAATAGTGATAAATGCAATCAGTTTCAATGGACTTAAAACATTAAAGAGCTCATATTGTATGTCTAGTTTCTAATAATCTAGTTATTTCACCATTGCCTTGAATCATTTAATCTATAATCTGTTAAATTATACTTAAAATGCAAAAAATAAAAACTTAAGCTAAAATTTTTATATAATATAACTCTTATTATAAGATAATAATAAATTTTATATACTAAATAGCCAGTATAAATAAAAATTAAAAAAAAAAATATTTACTTGTTTTGGATGAATTTGCAGATGATAGTACTGGGGTATTTGACATTTCTTGATCCACCTGAGATTGTAATTTTTTTAATTTTTCAGCTTCTTCTTCCATTTCACGTACACGTGCTCGTATAACTTCCAAATCCTAACAAATATATTTTTCAAAAATTATTACAATAGATTTTTTTTTTTAATCATTAACTAGTAATTGTTTTTTTGTATAGTTTTATTTCAGTTTTGCATCAATACAACAATATACTAATTCTCCTAAAAAAAAAAGAAATTAGAAGTAAAAGTACATACAAAACTAATAAAAAGAATTTATGAAAAACTTTTAGACAAATTTTAAATATTTTTAATAATTTAAGAATAATGTTACAGAACTGCCATTAGATATATATGTTAAAATAAAGATAATAGAAATCAAAAACATAAAATTTTTATTAAGAAACCATTTAAAAATTAATTTATTAACACCACAAATACATCTTATAGATGCAATCAGATAAGAGGTTTGTGGTAAAGCCAAAAATACTAATTTTTTATCAGAAACTATATAATTTTACGTCAAATGAAAAATAATAATTTTATTTTGTGAAGAATTAAGTCTGAAAGGAACTTTTACACTTTCTTAACCTTTAGCATGAAAATAAAGTTTAAAAAAATATTGTGTTACTATTATATACAATATATATTTGTTTAAAAAAAATTGATAACACCTACTGAGTCTGCTGATGTTTGAGAGTCCACATTATTTGACTGACCATTTTCAATTAAGTCAAATGTTAAGCTGTTCTCACTATTCACTTGACCACTTTGTTCTTCTGATGATAAATCAATACCAGTCTCTAACAGCTGATCATCTAAATCTGCCATTGTTTTTAGAACTGAAATATAATATAAGTGAATTAATAATTATTTTGAACTATTAATAACATTTAAATTTGATAATTGATAGAAATATTTTCTTTATAAAAGGTTTAGTATACTAATTTACAAGTTATTTATTATCAAAAATTTATAATTAAAATGATAAAATATTTACTTATAAAGCTACCTTATTTTGAAAATTAAATAAAGTTGAGAAACTTAAATATGTAGGCTACCAGAAATAAAATTACTCAATAATACATTTTTTTAATAAAACATAAAATGTATAATAAATATATGAATTCTAGTCAAACGTATATGTTTTTTAGTTGATAAATAGAAATAAAATATAATTTTATAGGCTGAAGGATCTAATAACTTGATTAAAATTATTGTACAGCATAAGAGATGACATAAGATATCACTCTTACAACAAATTTTAACTAATAAATTCTATATATCAGTCCTCTTTCATAGTCAAAATTATAGTAAAATGTTTCTGATAAATTAATATTAAAACGTAACCATTTACTTACTTAGAATTAAAGTCGATGGAAACGGATAAAATATTGAAATTCAATAGTTATCAGTATACGATATAACAAAACTAGAACTACATACAATTCAATGCCGAGGGTGGCGGCGACAGCTGCGGCGTAAACAAATATTAATAATTATCAACCGAAAATGTAAAATAAACCGTTTTATCATCAAACAGCATATCTTATCACTTGGTACGATCATCTTATAGTATAGCCAACTTAATAGAAAAAAGTAATCAATTCATGTAGTGTGAGATGTCACTAGATATACAAAATGCTAGTTGGCTAATATGTTAAAATTAATTTTTTTTAAAGACAATGATAATTGTAATAATTTATGGGATCAAAAGATATTTTATTAACCAACTAAAATGCTGCTAGATAAATGCTCAACCTAGTAGACTAAATGTATGCTAACGGTTGACATTAACTTTTTATATTTTATACTTTCTATATTGAATCTTAAGGAGTATTTATTCTATCTTATTATGATTAGTTCTTCAAATTTGAATGACCAACATAATTTTCAAACTTGTAAAAGTCTATTGTTATTAATTTATCCATTAGTTATTAAAGAAAAATAGAAAATGGAAAAAATTGTTATACACTTATTATTTCATTTTAATAGGTTACATACATTTATTTATAGATTTCCGTTAGACGTGATTCATCTGGTAAAAATATTTAAAACTGGAAAATTATTTAAAATAACTTCTTAAAATAAAATTCTAAACATTTATTAAGATACTTTAAATGTATTACCATTTTTGGGCAAGTTCAATTTTATTTTATTTTACCTAACCTTACCAGGTAGCACTGTTTAAAATTTTATAAAAATGTTGATAATTTTATGTTTTATTTTTATCAGATAGAATTATTTCAAAACCTATTATAAAATAATATTTAATAACTTTTAGGCAAGTTGTATCACTGAATAAATTAATTGGTTGTACCTTGTGTATGTAATATCAATTGAATGTAAAAAGAAATTTTAAAAGTAATAATTACTTTATTTTACCAGTTATGCTTTTTAAATAATAAACTTTTGCCAAGATAAAAATTTTATTAATGTTTTGTAATGTATTCAGTCCATATGAAATCTGTTTTAGAAGAAATGTAAAATTATAGAAAAATGATTTTAACCAAAAATTCCTTTAAGTAGTTCATTTCTATTATTTTTAAATCTAGAAAAGAGTTTCTATCAAAATTATCTTTTTTAGATTTTTATTACATTATTGAAGTTATATATTTATTTTGATTAACTTGCTCTTTATGTAAATTTATTAGAATATGATTAAAGTTATTTATTAACTGTATTATTTCGAATTTTTTTAAATATTTTCCTCTCTAGACTTGTTGTATAATTATAATGTTAGCATCATGTTCCATTTGTGGAGATGTTTTCACTGGGATACATCCAGAATCAGTCCATTCAACTCCATGTGGTCACGTATTTCATCACGAATGTCTAATGCAATGGCTTCAAAGGTATTATTTGCTATATATTAAGTTATTATAAGTGATTTTCAGTCAATTTTAATTAGTTTAACTTAATTGTAAATAATTTAAACACCCACAAAAAATATATATTTCTGTTAGAAAACATAAAAATAACTGTTGTGTTGTAAAAACACATAATTTTAATGACAAATATGATTCTTTAAAAGATGAGGTATGATAAGTTATACGATATGCTAGGAACAAAATAGGGAGGAAATTAATCAAAGGTTAAAGGTGTGAAGATCAGCTATTTAATAGGATAAAGAATAAGTAGGAGTAAGACAGAGTATATAGAGTATGAGTTAGAAGGTAGAGGTAAACCAAAAAAGAGATAAAGGGATGTTATTGAATGTGATGAGTATGGCTGATGTGTGTGTAGATAATGTGGGAGATCATGTCAAGTGAATGTTAAGGATTAGGATGGCCGACCCTGAGCAGTTGGGATAAAAGCGACAAAGACTTTGATTATGCATTAACTAATTAAATTGTTATTTTAAGGTCTCAAACATGTCCACATTGTCGTTCGAGAGTTTTAGAAAAACAAGTAATAAAATTGTATTTTCATAATAATTCTAATTTAAGTGTCAAAGAAGACATATCATCATTAACACATCAAGTACAGTCGTTAACATTTTCATTAACTGTCAAAGAGCAAGAATTAAAAAATTTTAAACAAGAAAGTAAAAAAGAAAAAGAACAATTAGCAACTTTAAAGTATTAATAAATTCTTTTACATCTTGAAAATTATCATTCATTCTTGATTACACTGTTTAGAAAGCATGTAAAAGATGTTGAGGATAAAGTTAGAAATCATCAAACAGTTGTGTCTAACTTACAAGAAAGTATTCGTTTTCTAAAAGCTGAATGTAAAAAATCTACTTGTTACAAATTGGAAGCTGAGGATTTAAGAAAAGAATTAGAAAAATTTCAATCGTAAGTTATTATATTAGTAATTTATTTTTTTTAGTAAAGAATTAATTTTTCTATTGATATTTATGTATTTAAATATTATTAATATACATATATATATTTATATATTACCTATCCTATTTTAGCATTAATAGTGTTTTATATGGGACACCTGCTGATTCCCAGGAAGCTGTTCATTTATTGAAACAAAAGACTGATATTCAAACATTGTGTTTACTTATTACTACATTTAAAAGGTATAGATGTTTCAACATAAGAAATTTTAAAATTTTTTTTTCTTTATTTTAAAAGAGTTAAAAATTCACTAGGTTTTTTTTAGATTCCATTTTTTTATTAACTGTATGTAAAATTTAATTAATTGAATATTGATATTTTTAATTAGAAATTTGCATAATATTACAATTGTGGAATCAAAATTATTAGTAATATTTAACTGGACTGCATATTTTCAGAGATATTCAAACTTTGAAAGAGAGTAATAGAGATTTAGAAAACAAATTACTACAAAGACAAACAAAATATATGGATTTGAAAAAACAATTTTACGAAATAAACTCGAAAGACTCAATGAATGCTAGAGTTATGGAGTAAGTGAAATCCTTATAAATTTTATTTTGCCTAAATAAATTTTATTATTTTGAGTATGTATTTTAATTTTGTAAAATAATATTACAGTAAATTAAAATCTGAGATTTCTGATCTGGAAACTGAAATATCCAGGTTACAAAAAAAATGTTCCCATTTAGAATCTATGGCTCAAAGTAGTGATACACCAAAGCGAGCAGAATTACGAAGAAGATTTATACATGAAAGTCCAACACCTGAATTTCCAGTCACACCAGTTGCTGAAGAACCTGCAGAAGTAATTAATATTTATTTATTCTCATTGTATATTTTAATGTTTTAAAATACACAGTGATGATACTAGTTGCTGATAAGCTTTAGAGATAAGTCATATATTTATTCTATAATACATAAGTATGTTTATGGGGTCAGAGTGATCAATGAAAATAAAAAATAATTTCCAAGGATGTCATAACTTTAATAAAAAAAAATAATAAAAAGTTTAATAGATTAAAAATGTCAGAATTCGACAAAATATTATGATTCATTCTGTACTTTTACAAATATAATTTATTTTTTATTTGAAAATTTTAGCCATAAATTATTTGCTTTTCTATAAGATAAAATAATATATAAATATATTCTAGATTATTATCATATATTATTGTAATATCTTAGTAAAAACTGCTTCTATAAAAAAACATTTTTTTATACCTTTTTATATTTTCTTATTAATAAATTTATCTATGGTTATAATTAAAAAATACATATAAGTATGATTGGCTGGTGCTTTAATGTTCAACTGTGCATATAATACTATTTGCTGGATGGGTGACCATACGGAAACTTTAACAGTAGCACACATCTTTCCTCTTACTGGTTCTCTCAGTCATAATGAGATTGCATCAGAATGACAACCTGTGTAAATATCCTGTCAAATCAATAAGACAGAGCAAACCCCAATAAATTGGGATAGTGAGAGATAATGATAATATTAGTACAATGACTATTAAATTTTATTATTTTAATTGTGTGCAAGCCCTACAAGCTTTTATTTTTAAATAAACGCACATTTTTTAATTTTATTTTACTTTAGGGTATAGTTTTTTCTCCTCAAAATATTGCATCTAGTTTATTTCAAACCAAAGGACAATTAAAATCTATGAATTCATGTAATCACACAGAGGAGTTACCACAAAATGTGAGTTAGATTATTAAAAATTATTACTTAATTGTAAAATTTATTTATTCTATAATCTATATTTTTAGATAAATACATTTATGCCCTTAAGTCCTCGAAGACCAATAGGATTTATGAGACCTCCTCTTACTACAAAGTCAATAAGTGCAAATTATGTTTCTAAAACATTAAAACTGTCAAGTAGCTCTGATGAAGAAATATATGATGGTCTGGGTGGTCGATCAAAACCTGATACTTTTCCCAGTCGCCAAAGGCCTGCATTAAAAAAACGCAAATTACTTTCAAATTATAAAAAAAAAAAACTCCCAAGTGGAAATACTACCTTAGATAATTTTTTATCAAATGAAATTCCATGAATTTAAATTATTTCATTGTAATGTGTTCTTAATTCAAAAAATTATTGGATGTTAAAAAGACTTAACCTTAGTTTACAAAATCCTATAAACCAAGGTCCTCTCTATATGACTGATATTAATATTAGTTATAATAGTATTATAAATACTTTGTAAATTAAAACTGGTTTTGTATATAAAGAAAACATATTTTATATTTAATAATTATATTGTATAATACTAAATTTAATATTTATATAAATATAAAATGTATTTTCAAATTTAAGAATGTCCCAAAAATCATAAATATCCACATAAATGATTTCAAATTTTTACAACCTGAACAAATTTTTATATTGGGTTCCTAAAAAAAGAAAAAAATTATATATTCAAAATAGTACAATATTAATATATTTGATTAAAAAAATAAAGTTTTAAAAATATTACCTCAGGATGACTATTGTAGCATCCTCCTAATTTTCTTCTACAAAAATGATTAATATTGAGTTTGTTGCAACTGTGATCTGTTGCAAATGATAAATTATATTCAATTTTAATAGGATCAACACTTAAATGGCTCAAACTACTCTCTGCATTTGTAACAACAACCAACAGTAAGTTTGAATGAGCTATTCTTTTTACAAAGAAAGGACTAAAATGTACAAATATATAATTAATAAGTATATTGATTATTTAAATTTATTATTATTCTTATTAATGCTATAAAATAATTCTTTCTTGAATTATTGACTATCTATTATTATAATTTAGCGTGTTACTAGTTTGAAAAGAAAAAAATATGAATGAAGGTAAAAAAATTAAAGAGATTATGTAGCAATTAGGTACATAATTTGAATTTTATTTTTGAGGTGATTTAAATTGAACTTTTGCCTAAAATAGTTATATGTAATCTCATAACTATAATGTAGCTAGTAAAATGTCAAGAATATATAGAATTTAGGTACATGTATAACTTAAGGCTGTAAGCTTTGATCTCACTAAAATAAATCCTTACATTTATAGTATTTTATTATAACAAAATATTCTTATTTATAAATATAGTTTAAAAAAACTAAAAAACACGCTTTTAAAGAACATCGAACTAAAAAGTTAAAAATAATTTTTAAAATAAGCGTAAAACAATAATGAACGAAAAGTACTAGTATTATTGTGATAAAAGCGTCGGGCGCTCAATATACGAAAAATATAGCACAAAGCACCCACGCTTTTATCACAATAATACTAGTACTTTTCGTTCATTATTGTTTTACGCTTATTTTAAAAATTATTTTTAACTTTTTAGTTCGATGTTCTTTAAAAGCGTGTTTTTTAGTTTTTTTAAACTATATTTATTTTTCACTTTTTAGTTACATGTTATGATAGTAGTTACTATCAATATCATGGTTGTAACGGGTAAAGGGGAATCAGGGTTCGATTCCGGAGAGGGAGTCTGAGAAACGGCTACCACATCCAAGGAAAGCAGCAGGCGCGCAACGTGGAGGTAGTGACGTAAAATGACGATACGGGAATCATCCTTTGTAATCGGAATAAATACCCTATATATCTCTTAATGAGAATAAAGCGTATTAATATATAAGTTTTAATAGTAATTAAAATATATATATATATACATGTAAAGCGACTTAAGTACGTAAACGTATCATGCACGAGGTATAGCTGTGTTTTGTTGGCGGGCGGGGCGCGAGGCATATATGGCGGCAGCGGCGTCGGCTGTAGGGATATATAAATGAATATTAACATATACGTATATATAAATAATAATATATATATGTATATATATATTAATATTAGCGGCGATGGTAAGAATATATAATCTTCGCATAATATCGTGGCACTTTCGTTGGCGTCGACGACGCGATGTCCGGCGTGATCCTCGGGCGTCAAAAGGTTAGCAGCGTTGATGGCGACGGTGCGCGAGTGGAGATCGGTTTATTGACGTTGCCACTTTGACAACAGGAAGAATACTACGGTATCATTAGCGGCGGTACGTCGTCGGCCGTGCGGCACTTGCTGAACTTTGCACCGCGGCGTATAACGCGCGGTGTTGGTCAGTCAAATACTCAAAATTATACAGAAAAAAAATAGTGTAGTCGACGACTGGTGAGCGGGGTGGGGTGAATGCGTTACGACGGTCTAGTCTCAAGGTCATAGACGACGGCATACGCGACATAATAACACGTGCCGCGTGGAGTTACAAACTTACAACATACAAAATACATGTGAAACTAATATAAGCGTGTTAAAAACTATACGGAAGTGAACCAAGAAAATTTCTGTTCAGAGCAGATTATAGTATATTAAATACTCATTACAGAATATTAAGACTTATCGAAACATTATTTAAGATAATAAAGAAGTTGAAATACTTGTTTAATAATAAAAGTTGCAATTATTTTCATCTGTAAATTTTGATTTTAAAGTCTAAATAAAATATAACATATTTTTGACTATCGAAATTATACCTTATAGTAGAACCAGCTGGAGGAGGTGCATCAAATCCTTCTGCACTTAAATGCTCATGTTGCAACATAAATAAATGAGCTTTTTTGTCACATGCTTTATTTTTGAATTTTTCTGTGACAACTGGTTTAGGTTCATCTGATAAAGCTTAAATGAAAAAAGGAGTTTCAATTTTTTTCTTTTTTAAACAAGCAAAATACCAACCTTCATTAATTGACCATACATGTACAAAATTCCCTTCTATCAATAACCATACAATGTTCATTAAAACCCAATTTATACTGCTTAAAATAAAGTGAAACGGCTAAAAAAAATATATATTGCACTACTAATAGCGAAATAAACTAAAAATGTAGAAAAATATAATGTTTCTATTGTAACAAAAAATACAAAACAAGTTTTTTTTTAATAAGTAACTGTTTATATTATTAATTGTAAATTAATTATTTTACTGAGAATAAATTTGAAGATGAACTGGCACTCAATTCTTTTTCATTACAAGAAGCTTGATAATCAAACATTGGTATACTTCTAAATATTTTCTTTGTTATCATTGTCTCCATTACAACTCCAGTACTTTTGAATACTGTTTGTGCAAAAAATTTTCCTGTATCACTTTGAATTTCCGATAAAACAACATACCCATTTTCATCAATAATGTAACAATCAACATGTTCAGATGAACACGGTAAACAAGATGTACACTGTAAATTTAAATTTACTAAAAAATAATTTTTGAATCAATAAATTAAAACTTACGTCTAAAAACTTATTTTTTATTAAGATAATTTTTTCATATCAGGTTTTTGGGGGCGAGTCACTACACACAAGCATATCAAAATTTTGGATTAAATCTATCAATCCAGATTATTTATTATTAGTATAGTATTAAGTTGATAGAATTAAAACAATACTATAATAAAAGCGAAATTTTTTTCCAATCTGTAAACTGAATTTTTCAAATTTAATTTATAATCATTTTTGGACCGGCAGTATTTTTTCAATAAATGTTAATCCATCCCTTATTCCTTATATAATTATATTTTTTTAATGGCAACAGACTAGCTTAAACTATGAAAAAAATCTAGATATGAAAATGACTGATAACAAATTTTCATTATTTCAAAAGTTAGGAAATTTTTATACCTAAGGAGTGCACAGGAAAATGTATATTGATAAAATAGGCATACCAGTACCTTATCCATTTAGTTTATTTTTTTAGAATGATAATAATCTCCAAAATAATGGGTCAAGAGTTGTAATTAACAAGTAATTTTCTTAATTAGATAATTGTTTTTTATATAAATAACTTGTATGTATGTTACTATTTAAAATATAATGTTTGCACCTTTAAAAGGAATTAGGGTTGGACTTGAAAATAAATAATGATTGATAAATCAATACGTATATGAAATTAATGAAAGTAAGTAAAAAATTCTCAATATTTTTATAGTTTTAGGAGAAATTGGAAGACTCACATCAAAAGAATCACTCTGTATAAAAAATGTTTAACCTGTATATCTTACATTAGTTGACAAATTGTTAGTGATATTCATAAATCTTTCATAAAATGCTTTATGTGACATTTCATAACCAACAACTGATCCTGGAGCTTCATTATTTTCATCCTCAACAAATATAGCATGACTTGCAGTAATTTTTAAATTTTCATTTTTCCCTAATAATTTAATAAAATTATAATTTAATGATAGACCAACTTGATAATTTAATACCTGAATCAAAGGGAACAGAAAATACAAAAGCTTGTGGATTAAGATTCCTATAAAGAACTGGTCGTTTATACCAAACTTCTTCAACTGATTTATTGTGAATTTCTCCAAACTCCCTAATAAAAAATAATAACTTTTGTATTCTAAGATATTTACTAATAATAAAAATATATACAACTCATTATTTAATAATTCATTTCTATGCTGCCATCTGCTTAACCCTCCTTGAGTTGCTAAGAATCTAACACTTACTTGATATAAGGATGCATATATTTTTCTGGAAATAATAATACATTTACAAATACAATTTATTAAGTAAAATTCCTTACAGTAAAAAATTGTAGAAATAAGATACAAATTAAATTTTTAATAAATAGATGAATATGTTTAATTTTTTTTTTTTACTCAAAAGCCGTTGAATTCCATGTAGAATTATACAATGCATGTGTGATTTTTGCATCAAAAAATAATAGTTGCATTAACTCTTTGTCACCTGTAAATAAAAACTAAATAAATTAATCAATTTTGAGTTTATTTTTTATTATTAAAAATTAATTAAACTACATCCAAGCTAAAAATTTAAATTCCAGAACTATTTGTAATAAAATATATTAATAAAAAAAATTATCTTGCATGAATATTTTGGTTTGCAACATTTCTTATGTAACAAAATTGTTGCCAGTTAAATTATAATATGAAAACTTTGAAATAATGTATCTAGTTCTTGACTTTTCAAGAAAACAAATTTTAATACATATTATTTTTTAAACAATTGTTTTATTATATTATATCCCCTTTTTTTTGCTGAATAATATTTAATTTTAATTAAAAAAGTTTTATTATAATTACAATAAGATTCATTGATATTAATTGGACGACGATTACATTCACCTACAAAAAAAAAAAAGATAATAACAATGATGAGTAAGTACATTTATAAACTTTTTTATATACAGAGTGTTCAGTAAGTCAGGAAACGGGTTTCTATTGTTCTCATTGTTTGTAACAATGAGAACAATAGAAACCCGTTTCCTGACTTACTGAACACCCTGTATATTTATAACATATAAATGTAAATTCTTGAACTAAAATGTATTATGCAATATTAATTACTATCTTTAAATAATAATTGGTTAGTAATTATTATTTATGATTAAGTTTCTCACTTCTATCAAATACATCCATAGATATATTTTCAAAATCTGAATCGGGATACTGCTCTCTCCATTCCCAATTAGGAGAAAAAATTTTCTCCATAAAATGTAAAAGTTTTTCTTCTGGGTTTTTAAAATTCCACTCATGTGAGTGAAAGTAATCACAATATACCCTTAATATACAGATATAAAACAAGTTATATAAATATAAATTGATTTAATTAAATTATATACATTTACGATAGAATGTTTAAAAAAATATATTAAATAACTTTAGTTATTATTCAAATATAATTATTATGTGTATTTAATATCTTTTAATGTAAATTTATGAAGATGAATTATAAAACATGTGTTAATGTATTACATTGGACAATATAATACAAATATTAATGTTAAAATATTATAAAATAATTAATTTGCTAACTTACCAACTTGGATGGATTTTCCATTTTTCTTGAAAATACTTATCATGGGGTTCCCCTAAAAAATAAAAAAAGGGTAATTTTCAGTATAAAATTATTTATAGTTTATTTTAACAGACAACATAAATTTTAACAGCTATTTTTATATTTATAAGAAAATAATTTCTATAATCAATTATTTATTAAAAAAAAATTTATTTTTTATACTTTATACAATTTAGAGATTTCTTCACCATAATTACCCCTAGACTGGTGATTAGTCTATTTATTTTGATATATAATATTTAATATAATATATTTAACATTTTATTAGTTAATATAATATAAAGATAGAGAATTTGATGTATGAAAATTGAAAATTTATATTTTATGTAACAAATATTTATACATTTTTTTGATACTATATCAAATAACTTAAATTTCCAAATATATAGGTTTTCTATGAAATATTAGTCTTAATTATTACTATTATAATGAAAAACTAGAAAAAAGTTTTATTTAACATTTTTTTTATATTTTTTTAATTGTATGCCTTAATTATATTAATACTGTATTGACCAAGTTTTAAAACATCTACAAAAATAAAATATATATAGTAAAATTGTTAATTACCACTTTCTATAGACTTATTAATTTCATCCCCTGCTTTGATCCAATTATTACCATATGAAGCTGGTAAAACTAGGCCAAGTGTAAACGGACCTTCAATTTTTGGATCCAAAGCTGTATAATGAAAATTACGAACTTCAGAACCTACTCGTCTCTAAATTTTATAAGATTAATATAAATTTTAAATTTTTACAATAATTATAATAGTATAATTTACAACCATGTTATCATAATGGAATTTCATGCTTAAGTTTTCCATTGAACCATGTTTATGATTAACAATTTCTCTTCTTAGCTGTAAAAAGTATATTTTTGAAATCTTCAAACAATTAAAAAATTATTTTAACCTGATAATACCAAAACTATATCACTGTGAGGCTGTCTTGGTTCTTCATTATTATCATCTAATAGTTCCAATTCAGTCAAATCAACACTGTTGTAATTTACTTTAAGGATGCCATCTTCCTAAAATTGTAAAATAACAAATTAAATATTTTTTGACTAATTGAAAATTATTTTTATGGTACAAATTTACCACTGGTCTTAGTTTTGGATGAAATAAAACATATCCATTACTAGTAACAACAAATGCATAACCATTTACACCAATCTGAAAAATATATTTGTTTTAATTTAAAAATTATTTAGTAACTAAAACATACATACTTTATAGGGAAGTGTAAGTTTTTCAAATTCAGCAATTGGTACATCTGTTCCAGCAACACCAAGCAAATCACCTTTAAATCTTGTCTAAAACAATTTTTTTAATTAATGACTTTCTATAAAACTATATCACTATTTCTATAAAAACAATTTTAAACAAAACATCTTTATATTGACTGTCATTATTGTTGAGTTTAACTCAAGACCACTATTAAGTAATGCAAGAAGATCTCAGTACAAATATTTTCTAAATACATATATGTATATAAATCTTATTTGGTTCTGATTCCTTATTAAATAGATATACACACATACCTTATTAAACTCATCTCTTTTTTTGTTGAAAATTGGAATAGAAATTGCAGTCATTGGTCTATACTCTTGATATAAATCATCTTCATTAATAGCCTATATAAATATTTAAACTAACAAATTTGAGGACAAATTTAAATACATATATATAAATTTTATATTATAAAATTAATACTAAATATTAATTTTTAAACTTTAAATGACAAAAAAATTGTTTCATATTGTAATAATAACAATGATTTCTAACTAAATTGTTTTATATAGTGATTGTATCAAAATTTTGTAAAAAAAAAAATCACTATACACCTATAAACTTGTCTACAAAGTCATTTATCTTGAGATAAATCGAGATGTTTTTCTAACCAATTTAAGAGCAGAATTACTTAGTTAAATAAATGAACTAAAACTAAAATGAGTGTTTTTAATTTAAAAAAGTGGTCACACTATGTCATCCTCCAAATTTCTTTGTATTAGTTATTAGAATTTATAAAAAAGTATGTAACATGAACAATGTTAAAAAGTAGACTTGCCACTCTAGAACTGTAACTATTTTATGACGAAATGAGCAATAGGAACTTTTTACATTTGCTTATAATTTAAACTAAAACTATGCAAGGTGATCAATAAGTTAAAAAAATGTTCATCTAATTTTAAGTTAAAATTTTATGAACAATGAAAATCTTTTCCTTACTTTTTGAATACAATATGTATTACTACTACAACAGATACTTACTAGTCTTATATCATAACTTTATATCATCAGCTTAAAATTAAATAATAATAGCATAAAAATAAATTTAAAAATACAAAATCATATACTATTTGTGAATGTTGTTTCTTAAATTAGAGATTAACTAATTTAAGTATACTAAAAATACATACTGATATATCCATAAATGTATGAGACCATGTAACAGGATGTTTTTCTGCTTGAAGTACTAAAGGTCTAGCCAATATTACAATATATTTAAGAACACTTTCAACTACTTCATCTTTTGAATGAACATGGGCAAAACTACCTTTATGCAAATACATCAAAATATATATGCATCAAAATAAATTATGTTGTCATTTATAGTTTAATTACTATTTAGACAAAATTTACCTCTATTTTCACAGGCTAATCTTTGAAGTTCCGGAGTAGTAGTTATGTCACGACCCATCATGTAAGTAAATAGGCGAACAGGTATATTAGTACCATTATCAGTAAAGATTCTATTATACTTTTGGACAACTTCAAATAAGTCCCTATCAGGTTCATCATCTGTGATCAACATTATCATTTGGTTACATGTTTCATTAAAAGTTGTATCACAAGAGTTGCACTTATTATCCCTGTTCTAATTTTAAATGAAAGTTAAAATTAATAAATTAAAAAATACTCGATATACAAACTCTAGCTAATAATTCAAATGCTTCAATAAATGCTATACTATAATTTGCTGTAAGCGTTGGAGATAATCTAGTATCTTCATTTATAGCATTAAGAAATGTATTAACATTTTCAGGAGTAGCCTTTAGAAAATAAACATTCAATTGTAATTTTATAAGAATATTCAAGTAAATGAAATATAATTGTTTTAATACCTGTACAAGTATGTTTTTAAAACATGGAACCAAATAGGTAAATCCTGTATTAAAAAATATTATATTAAATGAATCATCATTATTAAATGTTCTTAAAACAGTTTTAATAACAAGTTGAGCTATAGTCAAATGCATTCCAAACATTGATCCAGAAATATCTAATAAAATAACAACATCTTTGGAGCATGTTGCTGCTTGTATGTACCAAGGTCGAAGACGGGTATCAAAAACACTTGGCTTTGAAAACCACCGCTTAGCTATAAATCAAAAGTATATGTGAAAGCATTCAGATATTTTGATCAGTTTTAGATACTTTAAATGTTGAATTATTATGTTTCACCTGGGTAATGACGCATAAATCCTGCTGTACTCCCAAAGTATTGCCAAGACAAAGAAGGATCAGCTCGATAATTACTTAAAAACACTTCATCTAACTTTTCAGACCATTGCAAGGGTATTTGTACATGGTTAACTAAATATTTAAAAAAAATTACATTATCGAGTAAACAAATAAAATTGAAGGCTTGAAGTAAATAGGAAGTTATGAACCATTTTCCAAGAAATTGAGTTTTTTCCAGAAATAGAAACAATCTACTAAAGTTAAATAAAAAAACACAATTTCTGAAAAAATGATTAAAATGACACTTAGCTTCCTATATACTTCAAGTCTTCAATTATTGTTGAATCTTACTCCGCTCAAACAAAATTGTAGGTAAATAAGCAGTACTGTGGCTTGTGTTTACAGCTAATCCATAAAAATGACGATTTTCTGTTAATTTCATAGTTTTAAAACTTAAATTATAAGAGTTTTTCCCAATTTTAACTACAGGAGGTGTACGCGCAGGGTCATCTTCATCATTGATTCCTTCTACAGGAGAATATTTGGCATTATAATATGTATAGTTTTCAACTCCAGAAGTTTTCCATTCAAATTCTTCTGAAAGCCTTTCTGCTGCATCCATAAGACACTAAAATTTTTTAAATGATTTTTAGATGAGCATTAATCACAAAATATATTTATGGTAAGTTTACAGATACAGCTGTCATTTTCAATCTTATCATGCGGTTCATTGCCATTGATATATTTTGCAATAGCTGAGAAGCATTAGTTCTAAACACATGCGTTTCATTTAGTTTTTTGTATCGCTATACCAAAATGTACCTTTGATTAAAAATTTATTTTAACTTTTGTAAAATAAGTTATGTTATTTCATTACCAATTTTATTTCATTAGCTTTAGTTATATTCTGACCTAAGTACCAAAGTTCATTGCCAAATTGTTCAGCCCAATTTTCAACCCTACATTAAATAAGTTGATGTCATAAAAATCATTATCATTTATAGAAATGTTTTTCAATGACTCATTAAATACTTACATAAGCTCATAATTTTCATCATCAGTGACACTTATTACATATGCAACTACAATTAATAATGTCAATAAATTAACTATAATTTTCATACTTACTTAATATTAATTAAATTGGGGATTTTACATTTTATCTGCTAAAGCTAGGTTAGTGACCTTTTTTCAGATTCAAGATATTCTTAAATAAAAATCTAAATTTAGAGTATATATACCCATGTTTGGCTAACAGCCAACTGTATAAAATTCTCAACATAATATTTCCTGATTAGTACATACAATTTTATCTCTTTATTTTTATCAGTTCCAATGTACTATTTTTCAAATAAACAATGAATATAAATAAATGCTATAATATTTTAATAAGAATTTCATATAAAATATTTATTTCTTGTTATTGCAAGCGAACTTATACTATTTACTTTATAAATACATTTTGAAAAAGTAAATTTATAAACACTTAAAAGCAATTATTAGTTTCAGGATGTTCTACTTTATCAATCAAACCAAAAGCAATAGCTTCATCTGCACTCATAAAATTATCAGCTTCCATACTAGCATCTGGAAATAAATTAAATTTACACAAAATGTAATTAAATCTATTAAGTATTATAGAGAAACAACTTAAACATTTTTTATTGGTATTGAATATATATTTTACTAAATTACTTTGGCTAACATGTTTCATCTTAGTGACCAATAGTAATTTAGCTAAATATATTTAATTAAAACATAATACTAACCTATTTTTTCAGCAGATAATCCAGTATGTTTGGCATAAATCTTATTTAATGTAGTTTTTAGTCTTAAAATTTCATCAGTAACAATCTTCATATCAGAAGCTTTTCCCTGTTTATATTTAACATAGTTCCATAATTATAATAATTCCTTTTTGTATTAATTAAAAAAATTTATTATTTATTTATTTTTTACCTGCATTCCTCCGGAAGGTTGATGTATCATAATTCTTGAATTAGGCAATGAATGACGTTTGCCTTTTTGACCAGCTGCTAATAAAACACTTCCCATACTACACGCTTGTCCAATACACCAAGTTGATATTTCAGGTTTTATGTACATCATTGTATCATAAATTCCAAGGCCTGCAGTTACACTTCCTCCAGGACTAAAATAGATAATAATTTTATATTACTACTTTGATAGGTCCATTTTTTTTAGGAGAGGAGGCTGGAACATGGATCTTTTTTCCAGATAGGATTTTGTTGAGGATATACTAGCTTATGTTTGCAAAATACATAATTTTCATATATCGTTAAAAATTAAAATGGGTGACTGCTCACTCTGCTTCCCTTAAATGATGCTATTGATTGTAAGACCATTTATTTTGAGAAAATAATAATTTTTCTCTCAACTTTTACAATAAGACCTACCTTTGTGCCAAATTTCTAGTTTCTACTTAAAAGTGTCTTATAATTTTGATAATAAGTTAGTAACAAAAATGAGAACTTTGAAATTCTCCCATTTTGAAATAGTATATCATTAAGGACTAAATTTTTTTACAGTTTTGACTTCAATGTGAAGCTGAGAAGATATCAGTTTTACTATGATGTGTTTTTTTTTTGTGTCTGTTACCACTTTTTCTTAGTTCTCACCGAACCGATTTCTTTCAACAATACGTCAAAAGATTACTAATCATATCTAGTCAAAAACATTACCCTCAAAAATTGAAACAAATCAATATAATTTTTTTTTTTTTTCCGTTCGGTGAGAGCTGAGAAAAAGTGGTAACAGACAAAAAAAACACATCATAGTAAAACCAATACCTTCTCAGCTTCGCATCGAAGCTAAAATGAACTCATAAAACACAATTAAAAAATTATTTCACAATAAAAGCTATTTTCTTAAAAGTATTATGTTTTGACCATAATTTTGTATTTTGTAATGTAGAAATTTAAAAATAAATTTTTATATATTCAGTAAATAATTGAATAAATTAAGTTATTTACATTTAAATTACCTATTAATGTACATATTGATAGTAGCTTTTTGATTTTCAAACTGTAGAAATAATAGTTGAGCAATAACAAGTGAAGCTACATGATCATTAATCTAAAATTATTTTTAAAATAAATAATATACCAAAATAATTTTATTTGAAAAATTCATAACATACTACAAATAAGTTACTTACCTCACCCATAACACAAACAATTCTTTCTTTTAAAAGTCTCGAAAAAATATCATAAGAACGTTCTCCACGGCCAGTTTGTTCTACAACTATTGGAATTGTTAAACCACGAACATTGTTTTGTATCAATTTATTTCTAAATTGTAATAAGTTACTTGTTTTCTAGAGTTAAAATTATGTAATATAATTAAACAAAAAATTTTATTTTATTTCGTTTTTTATTGTATTAAGGTGCTTAACAAGTATTAAGTGTACTTAAATGATAAAAAGTAGGGCTCATAAATTATAGCACTGAAACTTGTTATTTTAAATGCTATAATAATTACTTATAAGTATTGTTTTCAGTATTTTAATATGCATTAAAAAACAAAAATATGTCAAAAAAGTAAAATGTTAAATTATATTTTATGAATTTTTTTGCAATTTTAGTTTAAACTTTAACAGAAAACTATACTTTGATCATTAAATTTTATATAAATATTTTTAAAATGACACAAAAAAAGTTCTAATAAAAAGACATATTTTTTATCAGTGCATTTTATTGGCTCTTTAAACTTTCAAATACAATCAAAATATTAATATGTTCATGCTTTAATCTTCATATTTTTCTCTATTACAGTACTGAAATAATGTTAAAAAAACAAAAAAGTGCTTAAATTTTGAAATATGCTATAATACGCAGCATGAAAATTCATATATAGCTTATTGATTTTTTTGAAAAAAGTATAGAACTTATATAAGTGTCTCTAAAACTTTTGAAAAAAAAAAATTTTCAAATGCTAATAGTTCTGAGTCTTGATATTAATTGTATCAAAAGAATATCTCTATCTTTCTCACATTAACATAATAAATTATAGTACAGAGTAATCAGTATCTTATAAACCACTTCATTAATTAATCACAAAATAAATAAAATATCGGGAAAATTATTTTTCATTTCTTTTAGTTACATATAATTCTTGATTTATCAGTTATCACTGATAAATTATTATTTATAATTTATTACTTTTTATAATCGCCCCTTATAATCTAAAGGGGTATCAACTTTATTTTTTTAAATGGGAACTTACATATTTTACTAGCTTATAAAATAGGAAATAATCTAATTAAGAAAATGACTGATTGATAACAACTTTTGGACCAATAATTCAGAAGTTATTAACAATTTAAAGTATTGACAGCTATTTTTCACTAGTCATTTTCCAGTCGTACTCTTCATCTCGCTTAAATAAAAAAATGAGAGTAACATCCAATGTACTGGTCCAAAAGTTGTTTTCGACCAGTGATTTTCTATTTTATTGATTAATTAAATATATATGGATCTATTTAAAAAAATTGAGTTGACACACCTTTAGGTTTTATGGGATGGTTCTAAAAAGTAATTATTATCTGATAACTCAAGAATTAAATGTAACTAAAAGAAATCAAAAATAATTTCTCTCACAATGTATTGATTTTGAGAGTAATCGAGTGGTTTATGATAAACTGATCACCTTGTACAATAATAAAATTATTATAAAAATAATTTCTATTTAAATACATATTTTGTTTTAAAAGTACATTTTAATGTTTCTGAACTATTTGTAAAGAACATTGAGAGCCAATATAGTTTAGCTCCCACACTATTTGTTTTTTTTTTTTTTTTTTAATAATCAATTTGTTTAAACCAAAACTATTGTTTTGGAGCTAAACTGCATTTATGCCAAGCTTTGAAATTTATTACTGAATTAAAGTAAATTGATTTTGAAAATAAACAGTTATCACTAAGCGTTTTTGTTTTACATTATTCATTAATACTATGAATTAAAATAATGATTAAATTATAAAAAGGGTTTATTTCTAAATCTTCCAACATTTTACTACAATTAAAGTTTAAACTTTTAAAAATCTTGAATTAAATTTTTACTATAATATGAATAAAAATTTGATAAAAAAAACACCAATTAACATTTAATATTAGTAAACACCAAATTGCTATAGATATTTCTGCCTCTCATGTATAAAATTGCAGCTATAAATACTTAAAATAATCATGTCAACCATTTAAAATAAAATATATACAGTATAAACTTACTCTCAAAATACGATATTGTAAAAAACTCATAATATTAAAATAGTCGTATTTTTCTAAAAAGTAGTGAAATATAAAATTTAATTAGAAAATTTATTTATATTATATTTATGAAATTAAAATGTTTAGTAATTATTAATAATAATAACATAAAATACGACCAAGTAATCTGGTACCCACTTATAAAAATTAATAAATAAAAAATAATATAATTACAATAATTTAAAAAATTTGTTAGAAGGTCTCTATACAAATATAATCGAATAATGAACAGTTTAATATAGAAAATTACAAAAGTTTCACACAATAAGCATGTACCGGTCTTGCATAGAAAAGTGATAAATCGTAAAGTGATAAAAGTGATCAAATAATCGCTTATATATATACATAATAATACATAAAATCAAAAGCTTTTATCTGATAATAATGACCACCGGCGATGATGCTGAAGTTTGAGACGACAGTTTAAATAGTAAGCATAAATAAATATAAAAACGAAGTAATTAATTTTGTTAACAAAATAAGTTATTTTACTAGCCTTAAAAAAAATGAAATCTACAAAAATAAAATAAGATACATTGTTATTTTTTAAGTATTAAATACAGCTTTATTTTGTTTAAGAAAAAATTTAATTTTACAAATGACATTTGATCATTGAATCAAAATTAAATATTTATTTTATTAAATTATTTATTTCAATATCTTGTAGGGTAAAAATTACATATCAAATTAATTAGTAATGATAAAAATATAATTAAAATTAAACCACAATAAAAAATCTTTATAAAAAATTTCTATGTAAAATGTGTTTTACATTGTATAAATTATTAATAACAAAATTAATGTTTGGAAAGCAGTTACATGATCTAATAAAGTGGTACACAGGCTATTTTTATAATTGTTTTATGTTCAAAAATCATAGCAAAAGGGAGTTGTATGAGTTAATTAAATGTAGGCGCCTTTAAATGAATTCTTTATAAAAATTCCAGGCAATTTATGAGCCTATTAAATAACTTAAAAACAAATAGCAGATCATATTCTAATTCTCTATTTTCTAGTGAATTAAAAGTGATGCTTAATGAATGAAAACAAAAATATAAACATTAATAAAATTATATAAAAATTGGTCAAAATAAAAATAACAAAAATAAAAATAATTCAAAAAAATAATAAATAGTGAAATAAAAATAAAAAACATAATTTAAATGAGTAACATCGAGAAGAATTGGAAATATAAAATTATTGGTTTTCATCAATGTTAAAACAAAATATACATTGTCCAATGAATAGTAGGGTAGAATTTTATAGAATAGTTTTGTCATCAAATTGATGAGAATATTGTCACTAAGTTAGAGTAGTTTTACTAACATACTCGTTCAAATTATTTTGTATGTCAATTAATTTTAAATTATGAACTGAAGAACTATAATTTAGTAGTGAAAACATTTTATAAATATTGTAAACGCTCAAAACATGTTGTTTATGGGAGATTAAAATTTTGTAAATGTATACAAAAACCAGAACAATTATTTCTAACAGAACTAAAGAGTATTGTAAATGCATGTAAGTTTTTGGACCTTAATGAAATAGTATGAAATTGTATAGTCATGAGTATATGAATTGGCTCAATGCAAAAAAGCTTATTGAGAAAATGCAATCTAAATTTATAAAAAGTAATTAATTTATGCAATTCAATTAAAACAATTGAAAATTAAATCAACACCAAGAGTTAAAAATGTTATGTTGTTAATCCAAGAAAATATAAAAAACCACAATCACATAAATGTATGAAGAATAATCAAAATCAAACAAGTAGTTCAAAATCGCAGGTGCAATACACAGTAAAGCAATAGGTAACTTTAAAAATAACTTCAATTTTAACAGTTCAATATAATTGTAAAACAGTATAATAAAAAGCAAAAAGAATAAATTCTTCTACATATGGGAAAAATTGTAACTTATAAAAATGGATTTAATCAGTTTCCATTTGGTTGTAAGATGTTTAATGAAAAAGAGATTAATAAGATCTAATAATGACAGTTTAGAAGAGTTTTAAGATATATTTTCAATTGAATTAATAGTACATAGTACTGAGACTCAAAAAGTTTGGTGGCATGCTATTCATATGGGCGTTCATCGTTTCCGCCAAAATTTACCGTATCGTTTCCGACAAAATTTGGATAAGGTCGGTTTTTCGTTTCTGCCAAACCGATAGTTTATACTTGTATTCAAATAGAAGCTTAAGGACCACCGGTTAATATATTATTATATTATATTATTTATTATTTATTATTTATTTACAAATATATATATATATACATACTTAAGACATTTATCTATTATAATTTTTTTACCTTTGGTTATAAACGCCATATTTTGTTTATTAAAGTGTATCTATGAGATAAAATAAGTAATTATTTAAAACTACGTGGCTATATTTAGGGGATGGTTAAGGAGGGAAAATGTAAATTGATGGTGATGGGAAAAAAATATTATAAAAAATTAGTTTATTTTGCTCATTAATATTAATACCCCACACAGAAACCATAAAACAGACCTGAACGTAACTTTGAATTCTTTAACAAATAAATGCCAAAAATGTTGGAACGGGTAGCTGTCTACCATGGATAAAACTATATGGTTCTCAAATTTTTTAGTAGATAGACAGGTAGATTAGTATAGCGGAAACGAAAAAACGACCTTATTCAGATCTGGCGAAAACGATAATCTCCCATTCATATATAGGTGTTCAGTAAGGAAATGGGTTTCTATTGTTCTCATTGTTTCTAAAATTGACATGTTTCCCTATTTACTGAATACTTTGTATATATTTGATAAATATTAAGTCAGATACTGAAGCTGAGGTCAATATAATGTCTGAAAAAATAAAAGGGGAAAAGGACCAAATACTTGATAAAGTATATTAAGAATAAATAGTTGTGTTATCAAATTATACATTTAAAGAAACTTTCGTCCAGGGGCAATCTTAAAAAAGATTTTTAGGGGGTATGGTGTGAATTTTCTTAACTATTGATGATACATTTTCAGACTAAGTTACCTCAATGTGTGATTATTGTGAGTAATAATTCCACAATATATTCTAAAAGTACCATCCACGAATGACTTGAATAAATTTTTTGGGGTGTGACACACCGCTAACCATTTATGAAATCGCCACTGTTCCTTGCTTGTATCGACACACAAATTTCTGCTTTTCATTAAATAGACAAGGTACGATATTTTTTTTCGTTTTTAAACTATCATCATTGAAAAGATGTTAAATAAGATTAATTATTTAAAAAAAAAATAATTAAAATAACTTATATATTTTGTTTTAGCGATAAATTGTTAGTCAAGACGTTATTGGAGTACTGTTATTTTCGGTACTGCTTAGTAACATCGTATTGGTCCTAATATTATTTTGATTTGTTCTCAACGAATATAAGTCATAGTTTGTCCGAATTAGTGGCGTTCTTAAATCGTTTGAGACGTCATGTTCTTTATTGTTTATGCATGTATCTACTTTTCTGATTTTTAAAAAGTTCGCTATTTCTTGATTCTTACTAAGTCTGTTTTGGCCAGAATAACGCGTGATTTTATCAATAGTGTTTTTAAAGCGAGTACCAAAGGGTTATGATTCCACCTTTGAACAAGTGCTATACATAATTTCTTTCACCCCCTTTTATATTTTACTTGTCTTTTCCAACTATTATATGACGACTAAGAAAAAATTAAAATTATAAATTTGCAAAATATATTTATACGCCAAAAGTCGTCGGCGTGGCCTAATGTGTAGAAACTTATGTTTCGGCGCATGGAGTTCCGAGTTCGATCACCAGGGTGCCAACGAGATTTTTCTTATTGATGGTATCTGGTTTCTGGTGCAAACGTGTCATAATAACCGTACTGTCCATCATTAGCCTATCCAAGAACCATCTTTGACTTCCCAACCTGCAAAGGAGGGCCACCACCCTCTGAAGCATGTAAGTTTGGGGAAAAGAAGGATGTAAAACCGATAATTTATTTATTCATATTGGTTGCCAAATTTCACAAGCTGATCTATTTCAATTAAAAAGATAAGAATATTTTTGAAATGTCCTATACCGTACGACCGGTCGGAATTTGACGGCGGTTATAGAAAGCGTACCGGAAATTGTATGAATAGAAGAATAAACGGTACGGGATAAGAAACCGCGACCCAAGGCATCGTCGAGACAAACCTTACCACCAGGCACTTATGATTCAAATCTCGATAGACTTCTATTAAGGTTAATAACGTGATGTGTGGCTAAGGAAAACACGATACTGTGTCTGTCCATTTAAAAAGCATTTACATTTTAATCATGGATGAAATTACTAGAGAAATACAAGGAGAGAAACCGTGGTGCATGTTNACTAAGTATAGCTGTGTTTTATGGCCGGGCGGGTCGGACTAACGTTATACCCGAGGTATAAACGGCGGTAGGAATATATATATATATACGTAAGGCGCATTAGACGCGGGCGTTATTGGTCAGTCAAAATAAAAATTTGTTTACATATATATAATATTGATGACAAGCACGCGTGTACGGGTACGATAACTAAAAATAAATTTTTATAGGAATAGTGTACCGTCGTATTGTGAGCGAGGCGTGGGGAGGGGTGAATGCGTATAACAGTCTAGTCTAGACAACGGAATATGCGATAACGCGTGGCGTTTGGAGAGTTACAAACTTACATACAAACAACATACAAACAATATACAAACAACATACATGTGAAACTAATAAAAGCGTGTTAAAAAAGGGATGAGAATAAGTAGGAGTAAGACAAGGTATATATAGTACAAGTTTGACAAATATTGATTATATAAAAGTTCAGTAAGGAAACAGGTCAGTTGTTACAAACAATGAGATCAATAGAAAACCTTTTTCTTACTTACTGAATACTATATATATTGGTGTCGTGTTGTATGTATCTATTTTATTAAATTTGTCATCTATCTAGGCTCTACCATACCTAATTCATAGTCCTAGTACAATTTAAAATATTGAACTCTTTAAATACAATAATTAAATTAAAGTAAACAAAATAAGATTATCTTTGATTTATAAAATGTAAATCCTTCTAAATTATTTTTCCGGAGTCCTCTCTTTTAAGTAAGCTCAATACAAATGTCCCAAATGTCCTTCCGTAAATATGGAACTGGATATATATATATATATATATATATATATTTATAAATTGAAGTCATTTGATTAATGTTTATTTATTTATAGTGCATTTTTTAAATTTATAAGAATAACATACAATTTCTTATACATAAAAATAAAATAATTTAATAAAAGTGACTAGATAGTACTTATGTTAATACTTCATTAAAAAAAAAAAAAATACACTATATATGTACTTGTCCTTTTTTTAAAAAAAAAATCTGTAGTTAATAGTATTTGAAGGTTCTTTCAATAGCTTAATAACATTCATAATTATTCTAAATATAAATAAATATATATAATTACAAAGTAAATCATATAATAATTATTGATAACATATTTTAAATTTGTGTGATATAAATGATTAATCAATATTAAATTGAAAATTTTATGTTATAATACATTTAACATTTTAGTCTTGAAGTTAAATATTTCAATCAAAATAGAAGTTAGAAAATAAACAAAAAATCAATTACTACAATAAATAGATGATTTTATAAATAAATAATTGATATTTATTTATCAATAAATAATACAATAATTTAGTATATGAAAGAATATGTCACAAGATTTAATTGAAAATATCAGTGCAAAATATAGTAGCTTTATTTTTTTTTATAATCTTTTTAGTAAAAAAACTAAAGATTTTCATATAGAAGCTTACTAACGGGTACATTTAATTTTTTTTAATTTTAATATGGATTTTTGACATTTTTTGTTTGAAAAAAATGCATATTTTTTTTTATTACATTTGTTTAAACCATGATTTTACAGAAAGTTGGAACTCCTACATTATTGCACTGATGCCTTCAACTCCAGAATAAAGATGACAATAAAACTAAATTTATCACAATAAAATGCATACTCGTAGTTGAATAAATTACAGTTTATGATTTGAAAATCAAATATGAAATAAAACAATTTTTTGTTGTTGAATTACTTTTCTAACCAAGATGCTGCCAGTGATGGTGTAGTAGGTGACTTTGGTTTTAAATTAAATTGTTTTAATGATAGTTCTAAAGCTTGATGATTGTTAGAGTAATATGCTATTGTAGCATTATGAAACATCAATAATTGTTTATGCATTACTTTTATCTAGTTAAGAGAAGATAATAAAATATTACTATGACAAAAGTTACTAAAATAGTATGAGTTTATGAACTTAAAATAGAAAGAATTAGAAACCGTCATACTTAATTTATGGAATAAATAATTTTAACTTAAAAGTCTTTTTTCTAATTTATATGAAATTAGATCTCAGTTCAATCTTGGTATTCATTGTGTAACTGTTAAATTTAAATTATTTTTATTGTAAGTTTATTTTGAACATTCAAATAATACTATAAAAAATGTCATTCTATTTAATTCAACCTGCCTCTCAAATCCATGTTTTTATAATACACCCATATAAGAAGCATACATAAAATTTTGAATTGATCATTTTATTAATTAAAATTTTACCATAAAACTGTTTTATATTTTTTTAAAATTAGCAGGAATTTGTATTAAGATATTGAGACACGAGTTAAGATTAATAAAATTGTTAAGATATTTTCTATATTATAAAATTTCATAATTAGAAATGTCTTTTTCTTACTCTATTTTCATCAAGAAATTTAAGCTTCACAATAACATCAGAACGTAATTTTTCAAATTCTTCCTTGTGTTGTTGATAGTTTTGTTGAGCCTCATCAACTCGTATTGTGTTTGAAGTGGTCCTTGGTATTTGAGCCAACATTTCAAGGTCTGAACGATATGCATCATATTCAATTCTAATATGATGATAAGTTATATGAAAAAATTATTTAGTAAGAAATTTTAACTCTATTTTAATAACAGTATAATAATACCTGGCACATTCATATTGCTTTATAGTAATTAATGTATCTTCTATAGTTTTATTACACAGAGTATTGACTGATGAAACAAAAAAATTTAGAGAACTAAGTAAGTGATCGCCATTTTTTGATAGACACTTTTGTGCTTCGGAATTTTGTATGAACTCTTGTTGAAGTTCTGGTGATTTTTGACTTAAATCAGCAAATGCTTCACCAAGTAATTGCTACAAAATATTTAATAAATAAAATAATGGTAGGAATACCAGTAATTTTGAGCTAAGAAAAAATGATTAAATCACTTATTGAAATAAGGGCTCAGTTCAACTTTTGCTGAACTGGGCCCTTATTTTTGCATAAAATACATTTTTTCTTGTGATACATAATATTAAATACTGTGATTTTATTAATTTTAATGTAGTGTTGAATAAAACTTAATTAACTTTAACAATTAAAATAATTATTTAAAAAAGGGTTCAATTTTATCAATTTTATATGATTATTTGAGCTATGCTAATTTAAATAATTTACATTTTATAAATTAAATTAACTAAATTAATGGTTTTATATGAAAAGTTGTATATTAAAATAAAAAATAAAACATCTAAAAAATCATTTTTTTGTATCTCCTTAAAAACATATAATTTGAAATTGGGTCTTTGTTTCAATAAGCAATTCAATTGTAAGAAACTGCTGAAATCTATTAAAAAATAAATAAACTTTTGTAACAAAATTATCAAAAAACTTTTGTTTATTTTTGTATAGTTTACATAGAAATTTAATGTCTGTGATCAATGTTCAATCCATAAAAATTGGACATTACAAATTATATAGCAATAAAATAATAATTACTTGTGTTTGAATAAAGTTATGAAACTGTGTAGCCATATTTTTAGCTAGCTTTAATATATTTCCATATTTTTTTTGGGTTTCTCGTAATTGTTCAATTTCAGTCTCTAATTCTATAATAAATTAAAAATTACTGTAACACAAAATATTGCTATTAAGTTATTTTAAAATTGATGTACTAATTTTAGCTATAACATACAAAAATTAAATTTTACATGATATGATTTAGGAAAAAAAATTAGATACATTTGAAAGGTTATTAAGAGAATAAAAAAGTGTTTATAGCAAAGAATATAGCAAGTAATAAATGTTAATATACCTTACCTATATCAACAGTTTTTGATGTTTTTCCAAGTTTTTCATTTATTAACTGTTTAGTACACTTATAAGTTGATACACTCCAGTTTTTAATCACATCAATTTTAGAAGTGGAAAATTTAGAATGAGGTATTTCTCCATTTTGTGGACTAGGTGTATAACCTTTAGGAGCTATATCAAAAATATTCAATAATTTTTTTTAATATTATTTATAAATGTTGGGATCGATTGGGAATGTCGGATTCCCTTATTGATTATCTTAGAAAAAAATAGTGTATTCAAATAGAAAATAATTATCAAATATCCAAAATACTAGAAAAATAAAAATTTAAGTTATTCTATAAACATTACTTACAAGCAGTATTTGTTAAAGGTAATGAATTAGGAACAAATGATCTAGATCTCATGGGTCTAGCTTCAACCTCTGACCTAAGTATAGCTGGATGCATGTTATCAGTTTCTGCATTTCTATTTATATATTCATGAATAGTACGTTCTCCAGAATAGTTGTTATGTGACATTTGTATTCTTTTATGTAATAGGTTCCAAAAACAAATGGTACCTCAGTTCAAACAAAAACTCATTCAACACAGCTGTAAAAAAAATTTAAACAATAATTAAAATAACTATTAAAAAACTGGCCAAAAATACATTAATTATATAGATGTGATTAGTTTTAATAGCTATTTTTAATTGCTCTTAAAATATGAATAAATTGTATAGTTTTTTTTTTCATATCAAAATTTAAATATATCTTTATATTTTTAATTCCAATCTCATAGCTTTATCCTATGTGATAAATTTATAAAAATTGCAAAGGAAAAAAATTAAAATTTTCTACAAAAATTTGATAAATGAAAGTTTTAAATTTAAGTCAATAATTTTTTTTATGAAAGGGTTGTGTTATTTAGAAAGGACAAGCTACATCTAAAATTAATGTTCACTTAAAATAATAATAAATATCTCATGAATAAATTTATCAATTAACTTAGAAATATCAACAATACAAATTAACATATTATTTGACTTACAAAACAACACAGATTGTTCAAATAAAATCTATTAATTTGAATAATATGAAGTACGTTAATATTATTTATTAAAATAAATGGTATACTTCGTATTCAATAATTTGAATTAAGATAGAAACATATAATATTATTTATTTGATTTATTAAAAAATTTCAATATATTTAACTACATAATAAGCGTAGTACTGTATATAAGATATTTATTCAACACTTCAAAAGTGATTGCTACCACTTTATCCACAAGTCATATTTTCCATAGATAATAATTACAAATTTTTACTATAGATAATGTGTAGAATTTCTTCTATTCTGACTTTTTATTTAATTATACCGTAACTACTATTCCCGAAAAAAATTTGATAATTGATAAAGAAAATATGTTTCATGAGTGTAATTGAAAATAATTGGTAGTCTTCATAACGAAAGAGTGACATATTATTTGTCGTTTGAATAGTAACTGTTGTCATTCCAATCCAATTAGTCAAACTGATAAAAGATAATATTATCTTTCATATAAATATGAATTAAATGTATAAATGTTTTTTGAATTTGTAAATAATTTATATTCAGAAACAAGAAAAAATAATACTCGAAACTTAAATTGGTTAAAATCAATGTGTTTATTGAAAATATTAAATATCTTAAATATTTTTTAACAATTCTTTTCTATTAAATCTTTGAAGAGAAAACATAAGTTAAATTATTACAAAAAACAATTGTTCCCTGTGATATCTTCATTTCTTATCGATAAATTGTGAAACAACTAGTAGATTTTATAAAAGTAAAACTTTATATTAATTTTTAACTTTTTTTTTTATAATCAATTAAATAAAATTGTTTACGTTCATATTTTTTTTGTTATATGTTAATAAAACAAATTTTGAAATATAAAATGATCACTTAACATATTAATCTTCTAATAAACTTTATTAAAAGTTTTTTATAATAATTTTTAAATCTAGGTTTTAAAATGAGACGACGTGTTGGAATTAATGCTGTTCATAAACAAAAATTAGAACAAGAAAAATACAAAGATAAAGGGACAGTTATCCAAGAAAATCAATTAGAACAGATGACCAAGCAATTAGAGGTGTTTAGAAGTAATCTTGAAGAATTCGCTTCTAAATACAAAAATGAAATTAAAAAAAACTCATTATTCAGAAGACAATTTCAAGAAATGTGTGCTTCAATTGGAGTTGATCCATTGGCTTCAGGTAAAGGATTTTGGTCAGTCCTTGGTATTGGTGATTTTTACTATGAATTAGCTATACAAATTGTAGAAGTTTGCATAGCAACTAGCTATAAAAATGGAGGCATCATATTGTTAGATGAGCTTAGAGAACGTTTGGTTAGTTATTAATACATGATTTAAATAATTTATCTTACAAAATAATATTTCCAATATTTTTATTAGATATTTTGATGTATATTTAAGGTAAAAGCACGTGGTCGAAATCGGCAACATCAAGAAATAACTATTGACGATTTATTATGTGCAACAAAAAAATTAAAAATTTTTGGAAACGGATTTAGTGTTATACCTATTAGTCAAGGACAATACATGGTTCAGTCTGTACCCGGAGAACTAAGTATGGATCAAACAACTGTGCTAACACTATTATCATCATCTACTCAACCATTCATTTCCTTAAATTCATTACAAGAAAATTTAAAATGGGAAGAAAGAAGAGCATCCAATACAATTGAACAAATGGTAACTGAAGGCTTATGTTGGGTTGATAATCAAAATAGTGAAGAATTTTTGTATTGGTTCCCAAGTATGTTTACTGAATGTATATCTTCTTGATTTTTTAAATAAAAAATTGTAATTGAATATATAATTCTTATTGTGATAAATAACATAAAAATCAAAACACATTCACTAGAAAAAAAATAAAGCTATATTTTTGGTAATGATATAAAATCTCTACAAATATAAATATTATATTTTTTATTAATAAGTTATACTTAGGAATACAACAATAGATTGCAGTTACTAAAATTTAACATACTGTGAAGAAAAAACAAAAAAGTAGGAAGAAATGTTTAATAAAAATACTTGCACAATAGAGAAAAAAATTACAACATAAATCAGTCTTAGATACACCTCTCGTTTTTCATTGAAATTTTGACAAAATACATAAAACATTTATAAATTTATAAAATATCAAATTTTAGTTTGATTTACTATCAAACTAAAATCAACTAAATATTTTCAATAACTTAAGCATAGATAAAATACAAGTTATTATTTGAAATTAAGTTTCTTTAGTAAAAAAAAAATATATATATATATTTATACATCAATTGTAACAATTTTTTTACAAGCATCTTTTTACTTAGGTAAAAGTTTAATTATCATTAACTGTTATGCAGGTAGACTCTGTCATAACATTAAAATGTATAATTGCATATCTCATAAATATAATGCTGTCAATCACAATATAAATTTTACAAACAAAAGTAAATTTTTTGGCAACTTCTAATTCATATTTAAAATTAGATCATGAAGTTATAATTTTTAATTCAATAAAAGTTTAAGAATACAAAGTTATATTTTTCTCTCTCTTTTTTTTTAACAGACTAATAATGTAAAAACGAGGAAAATAACTATTTTATTTATACACTAAAAAATGTACAGCATTATTTAAATAGAGTCGATAAAATAAATAAAACAAACTTTTTATCATTAGTATTACACTTTCTATATCACAATAGGGTAATAAGATACAATGATAAATAATCTTTAGTTGTATGTTCAGAAATTTAAGGAACAATTCTGAGTCATTTACTCATACAAAACAAATATTTTTTTAACTAAATTTAAAAATTTTAAAATAACTCGTGAAAAAAAAAAATTAAAAATATATTAACATTACTAGTGTACAACTAAAAAACCTATACATCCATATGTTTTGAAGGTTGTTGTATTATAAATGGTTCACTCCACATTCGTCTCAGATCACCCTAAGTAAATTATCATAAATTTATAAAATTATTTATGTTAGCATTTATAGCAAATGTTAAAAGAATTATAATAAGTAAACAAAATATGTCAGATGTAAATGTTATGTTCATTATGCTGGCCATCTGTATTACAGTTTAAATTTAGATATTAGAACAAATTTTTAAAAGGAGTTTGTTTAACTAAGTATCTTATAATATCAATATAAGTATGATATAAAATAAAATAAATTAAAATGTTTAGGCCATCAGTATCTTAATATATATTAAAAATATTGCATAGAAATTTAAATATTTCAAATTGTGTTGCATTTAGATAAAACAAAATTTGAACATTATTTGTTATATTAAAATTATAGAAATTGAATCCTATAAAATTAAAGGAAGTTAATATCATAAAATGATGTAAAAAATTACTTTTAAATATGCCATTGTAAGAAGAGGCAATAATGTAAATGGAACTAAGTAGAGTAAGGCTGGTTGAGCTGCTTTGAAAACCTCTGAAGAAACTGTAGCGGTAACTAATCCAAGAAAATATCCAATTAATGAACAATGAAAGTAACTAAAAAAAAAAAAAAAAAGGAAAACAATTCAATACAATTTTTCAAATATAAATATATTTCTTAATATTTGTATGATTTGTATCATATTATATTTACCTTATTTTGCTTAGATGCCTAGGAGGTGGAACACCAGTTTCACCAAAATGCAACAGTTGGGACTTTTTATATGCATCATAACGAAGTACAAAACATAGTAACAATCCTGGCATTACCTAATATAAAACATAAATTATTATTGAAATAATGTATTCCTTACAGCTAAAAATTAAATGAAACAAAAATTTTAGATTCTGTTTCATTATTATACAATTTTTAAAAATATTACACAAATTTAAAAATGTAATTCAAACCAACTTACAATATCGCCCAATCCTAACATAGAAAATCGGCCATTATGAAGACTAGGAAATACAAGCTTTCCAGGCAGTGATAATCTTGGAGCTTCTCTAGCTACACCACCAATATGCAACTTTCTGGCAACAACACCAACTGGATTCTCAGCTGATCTTGTAGCAACCTTAACAATAATTACATTTCAAAAAATATTAATTTATTTAATTAAACATAAAAAATAATATTTAATTATTATTATTATAAGAATTACCTTAACCATAACATTGGTATTAAAGATATACGATGAAAAGAATACCCAAAAAACATCATAGATCAGCAAACCAGTTAGCAATAAAGTGGACACTTTGAGACTTGGCAAACGGACAAATGCTATAAATGCAACACAGAGTCCCATTCCCATCGCTAAAAATAAAAAAATAAATTTATTTTCCCCAGAGTTCAATTCAACAAGGAGTTCTTTAATTTTTTAAATGTAAAATTTTATGTTGATATTACATCAAATATATAATAGATATACATAATACATATAAAGATCAATATTAAAAATTTATATCCCAAATAAGTTAATAATATAAATATATTGACTAACTTGGTAACAAAAGTCAACTAAAAATAAAATGTATGGTAAACAAATAATATTGCTATACATCATAAAATTCACAATTTAACGCTTAGATTTTTGACTAATTACTATAATTATATGTAGCTTTTAAGTGAATATTTTGATTCATGCATTTTAACAATTAATAAACAACAAATTTAAACAAGTTAATTTTCATACTTTTAAACTACCTATTTAAACAATATTAATATTAATTTACTTGTTGGCATATGGAATTTCTTTCTTCTATAAATAAAAAATAAAAATTTTTTTTTATGATTTACAGATAGAAATAAAACATAACAAATAAACAAAAAAATAGCTCAAATACTAGTAATAATATTTGTTTCTTTTTTTAACTAGAAAAATACTTCATATAGGTAAAATAATTTTTTTTTATATTATGTTCTAATAAATAGTAGTATTACAAATAATATTATCGTATGCTATAAAATTAGTGACTCTAAATAAACATATATTTGTTGAAATGGCTAAATATATTATTCAAGCAAGTCAAACTTAATCGATTTTACTACAAATTAAAAAAAATTGTTATGTATAAATTTACTTTATACATAAAGGACGGTATGATAGAGTATGTAATGTGGCAGTACTTGACGCACACTGCCTAGGGTTCAAAACTCTGTCATGGGCGGCTTTCTTTGGAGAACAAGAGATCAGTTTGGTAATTAGAGTTGCCATTCCTCTCTCTGACAACGGACTAACCACCCGTCCCAAAGTATGAATGGTTTAGAAACCTTTTCCTTTGGAGGAGGCCGCTATGGCTCTTAATGGGAGTATAAAGCGTTAAAATAAATAAATAAATTTACTTACCATCCATTAATAACCAATGTCCAGTCAATACCCAAATACAAACTATAAATAATGCCATTGAAAATGATAAAAGTTCTGCAGGTGTAAATCTACCACATATTCCAAATGAGATCCTGAAAATAAAACTTGTTCATTTATATACAGATATGTTAAAAATGATAATAAAAATATTACTTGTTGCCGTCTGAACATGGATTGATAATATACTGACACATAGGAAGCAATAGAAATGCCAAAGCAACAGTAGCAATAACTAATAAAAATATTAAAAAAAAAAAACAACTTAATAACTTGAACAACACATTATTAAGTATGATGAATTATTAGAGTAAACAATTCACATAAATATGATGTATGGTATTTATATAATAATGTATATTGTATTTGAACTATTATTATCAATATAATTTCTTAAAATTAAATATGTACTTACTAGCTGTACAAATAGCAAACAATATTTGCATAGAATCAAAAAAGAAAAACATCACTAATAATGATATAGAAGCTCCTAATGGCAAACATAATGCCTGCATTGTATCTAAAGTTTGAACATCTGTAAAATTATTTCATGTAAATTTAAAATTAATTTAATTTTCAGTTTAAAAATTTTAAATGTATTTATTTATATATAAATATGGAAAACTGTATTAAAGCTTTTTTTTTAAATAATCATCTAACACTAATAGACATTAATACATATACTTAAATATGTAATATGTAAATAAAAAATAACAAAATGCTGTAGAAAAAAATTTACTCTCAACACATTTTATATTACAAAATTAAATTAACCTCTTAAATTATTCAACAATACTTTAACATGGTCTAATAAATAAGAATATTTTATAAATATTCAAAGAAAAAACCCAGCACAGTGGGGTCGCGGCATAGTGGGGACGTTGCATAGTTGGATCCAGTATAGATTTAATCTGACAGTGATTAAAATCACTATCATAAGAAACGTTTCGATGCAAATCTATAGATAGTGTTTAATTTTAAGAAATTGGTGGATAATTACAAAAGCTACGTGATCTGCTAGTTCCTTATTAATACCCTGATTAAGATAAAGTACGTCGAATGAAAAAGGGATTATTAAAAAATATTATTTCTCATAAAAAAATCGTGTTGATTCATACACTTTTCAATAAGTTATAGCATTATAAAGTTAAAAATGTAACCAACCCAATCCAACATCAACTCCTATTTCCTTAATTATATCCAGATTAGTAATTCTTTTAATTATATATTATATAATTTTTATAATTAATTATTTTCAAATTATTATCTCCTTTTAATATGTTAAAAGTAATCATTTTGAACCTACTTCTTTTTGTCCTTTAAAGTGAAAGTTTTAATAAAAAAAATGAATTTATTACCATAACTTTTAGCTCAAATTGCAATTTTGAAATTAATATTATTAAATAGAAAATAATGAAATTGGTAGATTATTTCAAAAACAACAATAACACTTATTCCCTTAATTTTACCCCGATTTATAACTATAATATATGAATACATAATAATTACAGTAATTAAATTGAGTATGAAAGTGGTATTCAATAATATAATATTGTAATTTTTACGGAGATAATATAAAAATAAAAAGGAGTTGTATATTCATATACTTTTAATGCGCATACAAATTTAAAGCATTGATGGAATAATTTTTAATTAAAAAATTTTGTTACTTATGAATAAATACACTAAACAAAAGGAACTTTCATCAGAAAAAAAAATATACTCTTCTAAATAAACTTTTCGCGATGTTTTCAAATGTGCAATTAAACTTTTTCTATTACTTCTAAGTTTTAATATTATTACTTATTATTAAAAAATAAGTATTTACATATAAAAAAAAAAATAATTAAGAACAAAAAAAATTGTATTAAATTAATACTGATTTTGATTTTTAATATGTTAAAGGTAATAATTTTGAACCTACATTTATTGTCTTTCAAAGTAAGTTTTAATGAAAAAAAAATGAATTTGTTACCATAACTTATAGTTCAACTTGCAAGTTTGAAATTGACATTATTAAATAGAAAAAAATTAAATTGTTAAAATTAATATGCAATCAGGAAATTTTATAATTACTATTTACAGTACATTTTTCAGAAAAATTCGATTTTTTTGTATTTTTATTATAATAGATCACTTAAATAAAAATCATAGGAATCATTTCTAATTAACTTTTGGCGTTTAAAAAGATTGTACAATGGAAATATTCAGAATTTAATTAATTTTAATGATTATATGACCAAAAAAACCCACAATAAAAAAGTTATTAAAATGATTTACTTAATTGAGCGTATTATAAAATTTGATTATAATTGTAAAAATCCATCGTTAAATTCAGGTGAAACTAAAAATCATTTTTTTTTTAAATTTATGATTTATATAGCAACATATTACAAACAAATTCGGAATATTATAGACTGGTAATAGCACACACAAATAGAGTTAAAAAATTAATAAATTACAAAGTAAAATTATTTACTTTTGTATCTTTTGAATACTTTTATCATATCAAATCTAATTCGACAATAAATACTTTTAGAATATTAAAAATTAATGATTTTAATTGTTTGTATGGAAAAAGCTGGTTAAGCTACTTTTTATTTGAATAAGGAATATTTTTTCGATTTTTAAGAGTAATAACTTAAACTAATCATTAACTTAAATGAATCATTTGACGTATCGTTAAAAAAAGTAGGTCTAGTGAGGGTTGGCAAAATAAATCGTAGCAACAAAAAAAACTACATAGTAAAATAATATTAACATGAATATAAATTTCTTCTCACGAGGGGAGACTATAATATTAATTTTATTCTAACTCAAAAAAAAATGCAAAATATTAAAAGCTACAGACGGATTTGAACCTCGTACCCTAAGCGTGAAAATACACAGATGTTACCCATTCGGCAACTGTTCGTTGCTTTTGTCATATGATAAAATTAGCTATTTAAGCTAACTCAAATTTAAAAATTACTTTTTCGACTTTAAAAAAGTAAAAAATTTTTAATAAGTTTAATTTCGTATGTCTTATGAACTTTATTCTATGTCAATTAAATTATATAATATTCATGAAAGTCAGTGTATTCCCCTAATAAGATATTTTAAAATAAAATAAAATACAAAACCCAGAATTTAAAAAAAAAATTGCATATTTTTTGAATACGGTAGCTATTTGCGCATAGAAGATAGGTCGTCGGGACAAATTTTTTTTTTTAATTCTATAATACATGACATAAGCTTTAATTTGATATATATTTAAAGGACGCAGCATTTCCGGAACATTTTCAAAAATTAAGTTGAAAAAGATAGTTTTTGTAAAAAAGTTACTATTTTAAATCCCCCACATGAGCAGGTTAAGTGTTAGATTTTCAAAAAAATGATATCAAACGAAAGGGAAATATCTAGGGTTTTAGTATAAAAAAAATTATGTTGATTTGTTGATTTTTGAAAAAGTTATGGAAGTTTTAAGAAAAAAATGACAAAATTTATCGATTTTTAAATTTGTAATTTTTTTGGATATTTCCCCCATTTGCGGGGAACGAGGGAAATTTTTTAAATTTTTTAAGGGTAATGTCTTCAATTAGATACAATTTGTGATGTTTTGACGTATTGTTAAAAGAAATCGGTCCAGTGAGAGCTGAGAAAAAGTAGTGACAGACAAAAAAAAAAAAAAAA